ATTTTGTAAGAGATGCAGCCTAGCTCAGAAAATTGTTATTGAATAGGTTAATGCTGTTGTAATGAAATGCTTCTTTTAATTAAAAAAATAAATGAATAAATTAAAAAAATATTTAAAACAAACAAGCTAAAAACTTAGGAGTATTTTGCCCACATGTATGTATAGCATGTATGTATATGTAAGCACATAAGTATACCACACGTACACAGTGCGTGCAGAGGTCAGAGAGGGCATCAGATCCCTTGGAACTAGAGCTATAGGTAGCTGTTGCTCTGAACCACAGAGTCACCCTTCCATCCCTTCCCCACCCCCATCCCCATGCACTGGTAATGTGGGACAAAGAATATCCCCTGCTAGGGTCATTTTGCAGATTATGTGGAGTATTTAGAAAAGCTTGTGGAAATTAGTAGGTACTCAATACACTGAAAAACTTTTCTCATGCAAAGTGGAGAGGCAGGTGGGCAATGGATAGCTGCTACTCAGTGTGGTTGAGGGAGCAGAGCACCAGCATCCCCTAGGATGCTTGTTAGAAACTGGGGGAGGAAGGGATTTCATACAATGCTGGTACAGAACAGTGAGGGCCCCAGAACACCAAGAACAGAACTACCATCCCACTATGTGGTTTATATAAAGAGGAAATGAAAACAGGGCATCAAAATGACCTGACGTTCACATCTCCTGCCACGTTGCTCACAATAGCTAAGATCTGGAGTCAATCAAGATGTTGGATGATGGACGAGATAAGGGAAATTTAGATATAAAGACAGTGGAATGCTACTCAGCCATTAAAAAAGAGTGACACAGGCTGGAGAGATGGCTCAGCGGTGAAGAACACTGGTTGTTCTTGCTGAAGACTCGGGTTCGAATCCCAGCACCCACATGGCAGCTAACAACTGTCCATAACTCCAGTCCCAGGGGATCCGACCGCCTCCTCTGTCCTCCACGGGCTTTGCATGACACGGGTGCACTTACCTACATGCAGTCAATACACACATACACATAAACATAATAAAATATTTTTAAAAAGTGAAACTGGTCATCATCTTCCTGTTCCAGGATTAGGCAGGGAACGCACTGCTGAAGCCCGAAGCTTCTTTTACAGCAGACTGAGACCATTACAGAATTCCACAGCTGGTCAGATGCCGAGAACAGATGGTTGTAAGGTGATGCATCTACAGTGCAACCTCTGTTCCTGAGGCTCACGGAGCATCGTGAAGAGGGGGTGGGAAAAATGTGAGAGCCAGAAGGACAAGACACCTGCTAGTCGTTAATGCATTCTAGACATGATAGGAAAGCTCATCAATGGAATTGCCACAGTATGGTAGTCTATCAAGATCTGCATAATGACAAACCCAGTTGACAAACCAAGACGGATGGGGTAAATTTCAAGGGGTCCTGCCTCAAGATGAAGAGCTACAGGCAATCAATGGATGCTGATGGAAGGAGAATCAGTTTTCTCCAGGAACTAGATCCCTGAGAGGTTATCTAATCCCAAGTAGGCAGCAAACAGGTACACAGGGGCACCACTAAATGGACTCGGTGTATCATATGCATATATATGCATATATGTACATGTGTATGAACATATACATATGTGTATATGTTCATCTATAAGTGTGTGTATATGTAGCAATAACAACCAAAGGAGGAAAGAAACTGAGGAGTGGGGGGGGGGCGTGGGAGGAGTTTGAGGGGGACTGGGAAGGATGGAAACCATACCAGGACTATACTCATGTATGATATTTACAAAAATAAAAAAATAAAGTGAAGTCTGTCACTCGTGGCCACAAGAGAGAACTTTATATTGCCTGAAATAATCCAGGTTTATGATGGATGATCTCACATATAGAAGCTAAAAATGTTCATTTTAAACAGTGACGAAAGTGGAATAGTGATTACTAGAGGTTGAGCGGACTGGGAGGAGTGTTTGGAGGGGAGCTCGAGGCAGGTTGGGTATCAGGTACTGACAGATGGGAGGAATGAGCACCAGCGTTCTACAGCAGTACAGGACTACAGTTTACTAGCAAAGGCAGGCCTCATAAAGCGATAATGAGTTTGAAGGTTCCAACACAAATTGGAAATGTTTGAGAGAGAGTAGTGATCTCATCACTGAAATTATCACACTGTGTGAATTAAGTAAGAACAGTTAAAATCACAAAACTGGGGCTCGGGATGTGACTCAGTGGGTAGAGTATTTGCCTAGCGTGCGGGAAGCACTGGGTTCGAGTCTCAGTACCACATAAACCAGGCATGGTGGTGCACTCAGGGGTGTGCAGGCAGGAGGCTGAGAAGTTCAAGGTCATCTGGGTATATAGCAAGTTTGCGGCCAGCCTGTGATGCATAAAACCTGATTCCCCCCCACACACAAAAAAGAAGCAAACAAAACATTCATATTCTTGAACAACAAAAGACTAAGCGCCGAGAGCTCCCTGGACCTATAGAACGAGCACTTGTATTTCCAGAAACTCCACTATTCCTGAAGGTTGATGGGGTCTTGGCTGTTTCTAACAAGCTGGTCGCTCCCATGAGAAACTGGCAGACTTCCTGGCAAAGGAGATCGGTCACAGGCTTGGGATTCCTCAGCCTTTTCTGCCTCTGGGAGGGACCAATGCCTTCCTGGCACGAACTTGAACTCCAGAGATCTTGTATTAGCACAGACAAGCCAAACCAGCAATCTGAATAAATAAGCATCGATTTTATTGAGTCATGAATAATTTAAGACTGGTACAATCATCAACTTTATTCTCTATAACGTGGGGCAGATCTCCAGCGGATCATGGCAAACCCATAAACCTCATGACAAATGAAAATTAAATAGGGAGGGGAGGGGAGGGTGATGGGGAGGGAGGATGGGAACATACCGTACACAAAATACTCAATTCCTAGTTTTCTCTTTAAAAATGGCTAGAAAAAATTCATCAAAATGCAGCACTTTAATCGATTATTTACAATTTCTATGTTACAAGGGAAAAAAATGTACATCTTACAGAACATATTTCCTAAACTGCTCCACTGGAAACGAGTGGGTTCAAATAGCAAACCTTTCTTTACTATCCACGAAGTTGGATTATTTTGCCTTTTGAAGTAGATTTGCCATAGTCAAATTTGGGTACAAAGAATTTTGAAGTCTGAACATTAAACAATAAAATTAAACACATCCCCAAGATCAGACAAAGGTCTAGACAAGTCTTGCTCCTTGTCCCAACTCCCACCCACCCCAACCTTAAATTAAAGGGGTTCCCATCTCATTTATGGCCTGTGGCATTCTTGGAAGTTTGGGAAGGAAACTTTTGGCTTCCACTGGTAACTCAACATAAACGTTGCATAGAATTTCTTATGTTCTAAAATTAGCCTATCTGTAGAAAAAGGCAAAATGGAAGCATTCAGACAGAGCCCTAAATGAGTACAAAGTCACTCTGTCCAAGGTCAGTGACGTCAAAGTAGGACCAGGACCCAGTAAGAATGTGCCTCGGAGACAACCCTGCTTGACCCCTCGGGAAGACACTGAGCTGGGAGGCACACAAGGGCTGTGCGACCTAAGTCACCGCTTGCCCGTCAGGCAGGTGCAGAGTTTCGGTACTGAGCCCGGAAGTGGTGGGAGGGCAGTCTGGGAGTTGGCAGTCGGGAAAGGGTATCAATACAAACAATAATTGCAAACAACATCAGCAGGTGTGTACTCACAAGATGCCGAGGAGACCACCCTCACGAAGGAACTCAATTCCACCACCTACCAGATTCACAGTATGAGAGTGTACGGTCGTTGCTGGGAGACAGATTGAGGAGGGCCACCTGTCAGGGGCACCAGAAGGCTCAGGGTTTGGCCCTGGTCACAGGCTAAACATATGGTTTAAAAGTTTCATTAAAAACAAAACAAGAGAACCAGAACAAGACACACTCACACCCAGAAGAGTGAGGGAGGCTGGGGAAGAGCCTGGCTTGACCGAGAGTTAAGGGGCCGTGTGTAGAGGTTTTCTATTCACCAGTTAGCAGGACACACTCTTGTTCCTTTCCAAGAGGAAGAAAACTGCTGTTCCAAGTGAAGTGAGCAGTTTCGGGTCAAGCTCTTAGGGTAGGAAAATAAGAAAAAGAATCTTGAGACAAACTTTCCAGAACAGAACTGCAAAAGATGAACTAAACACCCTGATTGTTTAACACATGCCCTCGCTGGGGCCGGGAAGATTCTCCTTATGAAACACAAACAGGTCAAAGATGCTCCATGCCCTGCAGAGGGAACATGAGCAGGCTGAGGCCAGGGCACACTGGAGGACATCTTAGAGGGCACGGGTTGGCAATGTCACAAGGACTTATGGGACCACTGTCCAGTGAGGTTGGTGGCTGGAAACTGACAAGGGTGTAAGGAAGAAACAGAACCAAACCAGAATCTCTCTTCTTTGTCCCCACAGTCACGCATCCACACAGATGAGTCTTTTGGATGAGAAGTTGACAACTCGTGTTCTCTTTATGAATAGATGACTTTATAGCCCTGTTTGCTTCGATGGGGAACACACACACACACACACACACACACACACACACACACACACACACCAGGCAGGCACGATGCTCACGTGAACAGACACGGTCAGTACAAAACCAGTAAGGCATTGCATGGGGGTCAGCACCGAAGAGGTCAGGCAAGGCTGGTCGGGATGGAGGCAGGGCTGGGCTTCTGAGAGGGACAGCTGCCCCTCCCTGACTGAGCTGCACCATGTTGGTTCTGAGGAATGTGCCAGTCTTTGGCGAGGGGACATCACCAGCCCCACCTGCAGCTGGGATCTGGGGTGCCTGAGGCGACGAAGTGGGGTTCTCAGCTCTCAGAGACGAGAAAGAAAGGCGAGGTTCACCCACAAGAGGAGGATGGGTCCTCATCCGATTATAAGGACATGAAAAGCCATAGTCCCAGTGCAAGGAGAGAGCAGGTGCGGAACTGTGAGGATGGACACCGAAGACCCAAACCGAGGAGGACCGAAGCAAACTCAACTCCTGTGGCTCGCACTTTCTCCGAAGGACTGACTCTGACCAAGGGGGCAAGGAGAAGAATCTTCACAATCAACCAGCTAGAAAGGCAAAGGTGGGCAGGGGTTATCTCTCCAAAGAACCATTTGCACAGTACAGTGTTTGCAGACAGAAACCTGACTCGTTCAGACACCTCAAGGAAGTAGACGCTCTTCTCTGTGTCGATAGTCACATTACTCACTCATTCTCACCCCCCCAAACTAGCTTGCACAGATAATTGGGGTTGTTGGACCTAAAAGGGGGTGGGGATGGGCTGGAAGAGGCAGAGGACTGCTGGGGAAGGAGAGCACCATGTGACGGACAGGGAAGCATGGTGAACTGGCTTCCCTGGGTGGCCAAAGCAAGACCCTCCTTGGCACCAATTCTGCCATGGAGTGTGGGTGGCGTGGCTACGGGGTGCTGTGGCCGGACCCGAGCTGGAGGGTCTGTGCTGAAGGAATCCGTGCTGTCTGTGTTTCCGATTCTGTTCTAGTGTCTTCTGTCCAGGGGTAGCTTGTGGCCGGATGCTGCTCTGTTGCAAAGCGCCAAGTAGAATCTTACTTCATCTTGTTTTCATCTCACCCCTCTTTGTATCTCAACGAAGAGGGTCCTTTCCCATGAGTGTCTTCAGTGTCTCAAGGAGGTCACAGCGACAAGGCAAACCAGAAACGAAGGGAGAACTGTGGCTCGGACAGCTGTCGTGTTGAGAGGAAGGGGACCCAGGCTGCTTAGGATGGTCCATGAGGACAGATCCCAAGGGTCCAAGGGTCGCTGTTTTCCCACTGCTCTGCTCTGGCTGAGGCTGCGGCAGCCAGGGGTTGGCTCAGGAAGTCATCTTCAAGGATGAGGTGGGGATGCAGGCGGGATGAAATGAGGAGAGGAGGGGGCCTCGGCTACAGAGTAGACTCCAGGGACGAGTCCAGGATGTCATCATGGTGGCTGTTGCTGTTGGAGTCGCTGTCATAGCTCTGGGGGCTGGAGTAGTTGGCTGCCTCCTGCAGCCTCATCAACATGTTCATCTGTGGAGAGGTGGGAACACCTGTCAGTTCGCTCAGCTCCCCACCCCACCTCTCAGAAGCTCCTGCCACCTGCTCCAGACCCACCCTGGGGTCACAGCTCACAACAAGGCTGTGGACAAGAACATCAAGTCCAGGTTCAGATTCCGGCGTGTCCACTTACTAGCTGCATGACCCTGCAGGCTACTTAACTGCTTTCTGTGGCTATTTCTTTATTGGCCAAATTTAAGAACGCACAGTGCCTGCTCTGTAACATCAAACAGTTTCTAGAGGGAGCACAGAAAACAGAACAGAAAGCGCTCTCTGGATGACATCCCAAAGCCCTTGCTCTTGGAACCTGGCTGGTAGCTCTACTGACATCTGAGGCACAGGCCACTCTGCCCATGGCCAGAGTCAGCCTGTAGCCAGCTGGGTTCCAGCAACTACCACAGCTGGCAGGAAGCAGATGAGAAGCCAATCAGGAGCAGAGACTCAGCAAACAGCTTGAGTGTGCAGCAAGCACATCAGCACATCAGGCACCAGAGCGCCTCAGCCTCTAACCCCCCATGCACAGAATGGAGTCAGCACTCATCTCCTGGGGTGGAGGGAGGCCGGGAGTTAAAGGACAGGGCATGTGCCAATCCGCCCTCGGGAATGGGGCCACCTCGTCCAGGGCAAGTTGCAGGAGCATAATCGGCTATGTGTCACCTTCAGGTAAGGTGGTAGAAAGAGCTTCGAGTCCTTGTTCTTAAATTCTATGTTGCTCATTTATTTGGAAACAAAGAGGGGTAACTAAAAGCCTCTGATTTTACTTATAACTTGTGTTCTGTATTTCATATAGTAAGTTAGGAAGAAGGGCCTTTCTGGGCTGAGATCAAGATTGGTACAGCTGGATCTGAGAACCAGCTACTCTTCCAGATTCTGTGCAGAGGCTCCCAGGAGTCCGGTGGGCAGTCCCAGTGGCTGGCATCTGTCCGCAGAACCAAGGAGGAGGTGGGGCTGAAGGCAGCGGGCAGTGCCTGACAGCAGAGGCTGGGGCCTCCCAGGGTCTGGACCCTACGGTCCTGGGATAAAATCAAGGTGATCCAGCCTCGAGGAAGAACTCAGTCTTGTGGGGGAGAAGATTAGTAAGGATGACAGTTATTATAATAGAGGCACCTGACCCTGGGCAGGAGGGGCTTGGAAGGTACGCCAAACATCTGCTGGGCAGGCAGGGGTGGCTGTACCAGCCTGGCTCACTCTTGGGGCCTGGGTTTGTCCTAAAAGTGCCCTGCTTGCCTGAGCATCTTCCAAGTTTGACAAGTGATACAATGTTACCCACTAATGGATCTCCCAAGTCCTACTCTATTATATGCTAAGACCTAATGAGCTTGCCCACCTCTAAAGACCCTCATGACCTTGGCCTTGAGAAACGACTGTTCCAATGTTTCCTCTAGAACACTATCATGGCAGACACTGTGGACTGGGTCCTGCATGAAACCCTGGCATTAAATCCCTTGAAAACCCAGTTCCTGTTCACAGCTTCTACTGTGTTGCAGCTCTGACACCCACTGGCAGGAGGTAAACAACCCAGACCAGCTGCTGGTATTTATCTAGCACATGGATTGGCTTCTACGGCCAGAACAGTCAGCTATCCCCAGCCCTGCTGTACTTCTTAAGAATATTCTTTCATTAAATGATGCAGGCAGTACTGACACTCTCTGCCGTGCCCTTCTTTTACTGTAGCTACCATGGAAGCTGGGGCTGGATTTCACACACGCTGATAGTTACCCACGAAGGCTTGGATATGCTTGCTTCCTCCTCGTTACAGGGAGCTTTTGATTAGCGAGGTCTAACTTTGACCACACGTGGGTCTTGTATTGGTAGAGAATTATAGACTTGATTGGGAGTGTTATTTTTGCTACTTGTTTCTGGAAGGGCCTTCTCTGCCTCCCTGTGTTACACTGGGGTGACTTGATGTTCAAGCTCATCTCACTGGTCAGGGACCTGATTCAGGCTGTGGCGTCTTCTACCTGTGTTTCTCATCGTCTGGCTTTGGTGCTGGGAGCTTAGCTCACCTACCCGTCCTCTTCTCCATTTCCTATTGGATGGTATATGGTAAAGGTGGCATCTCAAAGCAGAGGGCAAACGGCAGGACAAAGAGAGCATGTGTAAGAACATTCAAGGGGGGGGGGAAGCAAACTTTTAACCTTTTAATCTTATACCACAAAACTTCCAGGGAGGTTAAATACTTTAATGGAAAACTAAAAGCATGGAAGATATTGGTTTTTAAAAAGTCCCTATTAATGAGGTGGGCCCAGTTTTTCAAAACAAGGTTTGCTGTTTTCCTAACTCCAGAGTTTTGCCTTGTGCTCAGTCCACAGCAGCAGCTCACTCGGTGCTAAGAACTCACCAGCGGGTCTCCCTCAGCGTCACTGGGGGGCACTTGCTTGCTTGTTGACCCCTCCCGAGGCAGAGAGTAGCCATCGAAGCCCACATCCTCGGGCCTTAGCTGCAGGAGGGGAGGCCATTCATGCTGCTGGGGCTGCTGGGGGCTGGCTGCCCATGGGTAGGTGTCCATCACCCACTTGGCAGGATCTTCCCAGGGGGCGCGCCTTCCATAGAGCTGTAAACAGACAAAGGAGGAACAGTCTGGAAGGAGGTAGAGATTCTCTTGTGGCCTCAATTTTGTATCTTTCTGGAACGCCCCCAAATGAGCACTGCGTCTGATATAGTGTTCCAACTTAAAGAAGCCATCCAGGATGCAGGGAGCCTGTGGTGTTAGGATCCAAGGGCCGAGAACTTGGGGGCCAAGGCACAGACTCTGCAGTGTGGGTCACTTGGGTTCACTTAGCTCTGCCACTGACTCACTATGCAGCCCTTCCCTCCCGGCCTTGCTGTTCAACTTGAAAAACTCTGGGGAGAAAATCAACAGCTTCTGACTAGGAGCTTGCCGATTTCCACAGTGCACAGATTCTCACCAGGGCCGATTTCACAATACACAATGAGGTGCTGAATGTGCAGCTGCAAAGAATCGCTCACTACTAACTTTCACAACCTAGCCCAGAACCATGGGTGTACCCACCTAGAGAAGGCACCCTCCCCAAAATGAGATCCATGTATCGGCACAGCAGGCAGGCCTCACCAATGGGGCTGGTGTGACGAACCTGCACTCCTTTGTTTCATGTACGTGTGTGTGGTGTATGCACGTTTGCATGTGTATGGGCATGTATTGGGGGTGCATGCACATGAGGCCTGAGGGTGAAGTCTCTCTCCACCTTCTTTGCTGAGGCAGAGTCTCTCAGCTGAACCCACAGTTCACGAATTTGGCTGGTCTGTCTAATCAGGTTTCTCTGGGGATCCCATTTCTATCTTTCAAATGCTTAAATTATAGCATTCAAGCATTGTTTCATTTGTGGGTCTGTGTGTGCACCACATGCATGCGAGCACCCAGAAGTGGTGCCAGCTCCCCTGGAACTGGAGTTACAGGCAGTTGTGAGGGGCCTGATATGCCTGCTGGGAACTGGATCTGGGTCCTGTGCAAGAGCAGCAAGTGCTCTTAAGCATGGCACCATCTCTCCAGTCAATGGTCCCCATTTATTTTTTTAAATATTTTATTTTATGAGTGTATTGCCTGCAAGTATGTTAAGTGTACCTGTGTCATGCAGTGCCATGGAGGTCAGAAGAGGACATCAGATCCTCTGGAACTGGAGCTACAGACAGCTGTTAGCTGCCATGTGGGTGCTGGGAACTGAACCCAGGTCCTCTGCAGGAACGCCCAGTGCTCTTAAACACTGAACCACCTCTCCAGCCTCCAGCCCCCCATTTCTTAAAGTTTATCTAACTCTCAGAATCTTTCTATGTTCACACTAATCCCTTTCTAAGCACAATGTTGGTAACAGAGGGCCTTGCATGTAGGCAATAGGATGAGGCCCTCTTCCTGGTCAAGTAGTTCTCAGCATTGGCTATGCTAACAACCAATATGCTCCCCAAATAGTAAACTACATCATCAGTTTCATAAGGCCAGCAATACCAGGAGTCTAAGCTTCTAAAGCTATAAGGTCTAATGTTATGATTTTAGTGATTGTCATTGGCAACCTTGGGAAGCATATGTTCTTTAAAGAATATAAGCCTAGGCTGGGTCACTGTGTGGCCAGGCCTACTGTGGATGTCTCTGCTTCACACCACGCCTTACAGCTTCCTAGGCGCTAGGGCCAGACACCCAACAGCATTTGGTTTAATGACCCCAACAGAAGGATCACCCCACGTTCACAGGCAGGGCTGAGAAAGGCTGTCTGTGTTGTAAGGCCTCTCTATAGGGGCCTCAGGGAATAAAGATGGAAAATTCCAGAGCCTGCCTCCTTGTGTGAGTGTGTTTCCTCCACCCTCCTGGGAAGCTGAAGTACAGAGAGGGCAGGCAAAAGGTACTGGTCCAGCTCTGACCCAGTAGAATCACACCTTTCAAAGTCACAGTTCCAGCACTAGTGACATAGAGGCAGGTGGATCTCTGTGAGATCAAGGTCAGCCTGGTCTACATAGTGAGTTCCAGGCCAGCTGGGGCTACAGGGAGACCCTGTCTCAAAAAGAACAACAACAACAAAATCCCCACAAAGTCACAGTTTGCCTCAGTGGAAAAGGACTAGGGCCACCTAGCCTGTGCCTCACTGATCAGATGGGGAAATAAGTCCCCACAAAGTCACAGTTTGCCTCAGTGGAAAGGACTAGGGCCACCTAGCCTGTGCCTCACTGATCAGATGGGGAAATAAGAATCTAAGAGCAGAGCCGCTGTGAGAGGTTTTAAGGTAGGGCTGAATTCAAACCAAGGACACAAGCATGCTTCTCTGGGCCTGTCCCTCTTACCCCTCCTATGGGACTCCTTTGTATCAGCAGAAGCCACATTACTTGGCCAGAACTGAAGCATGAGGCTCACCAGACTACAGCATGTTAACCTGGGCCAGATTCGTTACTCTCTGGCAGGTCCCCTCACCCTGTGACCTGAGCCACTCAGATATCAGCATCTGAATCTTGTCCAGGATGCCCCTCACCCTGCCCCACTTTAGACAGGTCCATCTCTCTGTATTAGTGACCCCCTCTTCCACTTGACAACCAGCACTTCCAGATGCCAGCCTCTCCCCTCCCTGCCTGGTGTAGCCTCTAGCGATGGCTCCCTTCATCTGGGGCAATGGTGAGTCTCAGTCTTTGAATTCAATCTGACAACCTAAAACAATTCAGTCTGAGCAGGACAGGATGGGGAAGAGGCATGTGGACATGTGTATGTCAGGATGGAAGCGAACACAGGAGCAGTGGAGGATATCGAGGTTAATCATGGCTGAAGGACATAGTTACAGATCAGAAACATCCTGCTGTTTCTCGAGGAACAGACAGACTCCCAAGATAGATGTCACACACTCCAGGCATCCAGAATAGCCCACCCCAGCCCCACGCAGCTGTAGGAAGAGACCCTCAAGGCCACTGCTCAGCAAGTCCCTAGAGCCATAAAAGACCTAGCAATTGGCACACCTTTGTCTTCATCCCTGACCCCCACACCGAGGACACGTACAGAAAACATCTGGGCTTCTAGAAGCCAGGCTGATAAAACAGCCACATGTTTCCTTTTACAGATGTCAAGGCCGAGATAGGAGACTGGCAGGGACTTAGAGCAGCTTGGTATCTGATGAACAGCCCCCGACTGCCCCTCCTCTGCTCTATCCCCTCCAGCACCAGGTCCACCCTGGGAAGCAGGTCTTCTGAGATGGTTGCAGACATCAGACACTTTGGCAAGTGTTTCTGATGACAACTGCAGGAGGGAACAGGACTGCGGACTGAGTCATAAGGTAAGCACACGTTAGGTACAGTGAACATCAGCTGTAAGAATAGAAAACGTTTTCACCAGCCTCCCTACATTCCATGAGACATATCTGTGACTCAGTGGCTCTGAGTCAGTTCCATGGTAAGCCAAGGATGTGTTGTAAAGCTTCTTGGACCCACTGCAGAGTCTGGAGGCTGTAGAAAGGCAGTTGGGCAGGCAGGCAGGTGACAGTCACTTTCCCCAGGGCAGAGGAGGGCCCTGCATCCCACTGGGGATCCCAGGTAATCGGAGCCAAGACATTGGTAAATAAGATTTGGGCTGCTGTGAGCCTTCTGGCCCTGTGGGAAACACAGGGAAGTACCAACATCCAAGTTCAGGGAGCACTTCTAGGAACGAACACACACACACACCACACACCACACACCACACCACACACACACACACACCACACACCACACACCCCACCACACACACACACACACACACACACACACACACACACACACACACACGTGCGACAGTAGAGCCTGAACTTGCAGAACTGCCTAGCATCCACTAGAGGGTGAAGACACATTTCCTTCAGGCAGGGATTGTAGGTCTGGTTATAGCAAAGCTTTCCAGTGACTGTACACATCAGTTTCACTGTGGGCAGCCCTCTTCCTGGATCACAACATGTGTCAGCCCCTTGGAACCTGTTCTAGAGACTCCGCCTCTTCCCAGCCTGCAACCTTGGCCAAGGCTCCATGTGCTCTAAAGGAGGAGGATCAGGAATTGAAGACCAGCCTGCGCTACTCAGTGAGTTTGAGGCCAGCCTGGGCTATGTGGTATGTGAGGGAGGCACTGTTCTACCGATCAACCAAAGATACAAACAATAACAACCAATACTTTGTTCCCTGGGCTACCCAGAGCTTCCTCAAAGATTTTCGAGGCGTCCCAGGACACCCTCGGAGCCACAGAGCAGCTGCAGCTGTCACATGCCTGGGGTTAAGCATTACCCATCATGCTCTGCTGCATGAACTGGTAAGGCCGATCTTTGATCTGCCTCAGTTTCTTTGCCTGTATAAACTCACAGGAATGCCAGAACCCTGACAGTGGCAGGTCCTCAATGTCCTCAAACTTCTGTCCAAATTCCTAGGCAGGGAGAACGCAGGAGTCTTCTGTTGATCACCAGACTCAGGAGGCCTCCTGGGTTCATTCACGGGCAGAGCTCAGAGATCTGGGGTACAGTGGTTCACATTTGATGCACTTGGCAGAAAGCTAACTCTGGCTGCCTCCCTTTACTGCTTTAAAACAGTGTTCATCAGCTGGGTATGGTGGTGCACACCTTTAATCCCAGCACCCAGGAAGCAGAAGCAGGCAGATCTCTGTGAGTTTGAGGCCAACCTGGTCTACATATCAAGTTCCAAGCCAGCCAGGGCTATACAACGGAGCCTTCTCCAAAAAAGAGCATCCTTCAAATGACCACCCAGGCAAAGGAGGCACAGAAACCACAACTGCACACCAACTTGCTCGCTGCCACAGACGGGCTGTTCAGTCCCTGCTCTGAAGCCCCTTCTACCTGTGGCCTTGCTGCTCTTGGTAGGAAGGAGCCATGGTGCTCAGCAGGATAAGCCCATTCTGTGATGGCTCCTGGAGCAGAGGGGAAGCCCAGGGACCCTTCCTAGCCACATCCAAAGCCCCTTTCAGTTCATGTTCAAAGGGAAAGACCCACAGAATTCTCCACTGGCTGGTGATCAAGGGGCTGGCTGGTATGCAGCTCAAGACTGGTTTGTGCCTCCTTGGGTACTCACGACCTTTGTTTAGCAGCATCTGAGTTCTCCCAAGTGACTTAGGCCTCTCACCATCCCTCCTCAGATCAGCTTGGGCAAAGAGGATTCAAGAAGGAGACCTTGGAGGGGAGAAGGACACAGGAACAGGAGTGCCTCACGGCTTGTAGTTCCCTCTGCTTCTGTTTACAGTTTGGGTTTCAGGCACTGAATAAGAAGAGGGACGACTGAGATGAAACAGACTGCATACTTGATCCCTGCCACAGGTCACACTGTCACACTCCCAGTGGCCCAAGGTAGCAGTGGCTGGATAGTGTTTGGGTTTATGTGTGAGTTACTTTTCTCTTTGCTAGTAAGTACGTAACACAAAGCAACTTAAGGGAGGAAGGATTTGGGTCCAGTTTAGGGGCTATGGTCTACCATGTTGGGGCAGGTGTGATGATGAGGCCGGCGGATCAAGAAGTGGAAAGGGACACAGTGGAGAGGGCTGACCTCCTTTTTTTTTTTTTTTTGGTCTTTTTGAGACAGGGTCTCCCTGTAGCCCCAGCTATCCTGGAACTCACTATGTAGATCAGGCTGGCCTTGAACTTGCAGACATCCGTCTGCCTCTGCCTCCCTGAGTGCTGGGATCAAAGGTGTGCGCCACCACGCCCGGCCCTCTTTTCCTCTTTTCATTCAGTAGAGGAACTCCGCCCAGGGAGGACATCACTCTTGTTGAGATGGTCTTTCCTCCTCAGCTAAGCTTCTCTAGAAAAATCTTCACAGACACACCCAGAGGAGTGCCATCAGGGTAACTCCAAATCTAGCCAAGTTGACAATCAAGGTTAATCATCACAGGTACTAATAAACCCATCTATTCAGAAACTAAATTACCAGACCAGCAAGTTTAAGCTCCCTATGCAGATTCTAGTGTGAAGAACTGAAGCCTTTCTAGCCCTTCTCTGATGGAAGCAACATCTGATGGACAGCATGCTGCTAGCCAGTGACTTAGGGCTGGCCGAAGGCTCTGACCTTCTTGCTTCCCTGCCTTTGCAAGATGTTTAATTCCCAGCCCAGGGCATGAATGTGCAGCATCAAAGCTGTAGTCAGAGACCACAGCAGATTTCTTCCAAGATCATTCACTGTTCCGGATCCCCTGAAGACCATGCCTGCTGACACTCCAACGAACAGGTACAAAGCACGCCCACCTTCCCCAGGTGGGACCACACTTACAGAATGGCAAACATGGGCCCAGAGACACCTCAATCAGCAGGAGGCTTGCCATGCAAGCAAGAAGACTTGGTTCAGATCCCCAGCACGTGTGCAAACTTGGGCGCAGCAGCAAGCACCTCTAACCCTGGTGCTAGGAAGATGCAGACGGAGATCCTGGGACTCATTGACCAACCAGTCTAGCCAAACTGGTGAGCTCCAGGTTCAGTGAGAGATCCTATTTCACAATAATGATGATAGCGGCTAGAGAGATGGCTCAGCAGTTAAGAGGACTGGCCACTCTTACAGAGGACCCAGGTTCGATTCCCAGCACCCACATGGCAGCCAACTGTCGGTAACTCCAGTTCCAGGGCATCTGACACCTTCTTCTGTCTTCTGTGGGCACTGTACAACATGTGTACTTACGTACATGCAGGCAATACATTCATACACATGAAATAATTTTTTTTTGATTTATCTAAGAAAAATAATAATAAAAACGAGGGGTTGGAGAGATGGCTTAGCAGTTAAGAGTAATTGCTGCTTTTGCAGAGGACCTGGGTTTGGTTTCCAGCATCGATATGAGGCAGCTCACAATGGCCTGTGACTCCAGCTCCAGGGTATCTAAACACCCTCTCTGGCCTCTGCAGAGACCCACACACATGCACATATAATACACATATACAGAAAGAAATATACATACATATATAATAATATACATACATACATACATACATATATAATAATAAAATAAATTTTAAAAATAAGGTGGGGAATGATTAAGGAAGATATTTGGCATCAACCTCTCGCCTCCACATATGTACCCCATACACATGTGCATACCCCCTATGTGTACACCACCCATATGCATATCACCCACATATACACATACAAAGAAGAAATGACAGACATTAACATCCTGCCACACGTGTGAGGGTGCACACGGCTCTGTGCCCTCAGCAGGCACACAGTACACTCTTGTGTATTCCCCCCAACTAATACCAGGGAAACTAAGAAGCCTGGAAACCTGGCTGTGAAACTGGACCCCGGTTTGCTCAGGGGGCCCTAAAAGCCGGAGGAACTCAGGCTGTCCCCAGACAGCAATCAGATTTTCCTGAGCTGCAGTGACATGATGTGCTCCCAGTTAAATCTGGAGATGAGTGGCATGTATGATGCGTCCCTGCGGGGAGGAGGGGCTTGCAGTCAGCGGAGCCCCAGAACCACCTGGAAGAGGTCCTGCAGTCAGGTAGTCAGTATTCCAGGCCTGTGCTCAAGAATTCAATTTAGAAGGCAGGGATTCAAATTCCAGATCCTTCAAAGCCTTATGTCTTTTGTTTAGTGCCCCAGGGCATGCAGATGCATTGTATAACTAGGATTCCTCTGTGGCCCTTGTTTTTTTCTTTTTTTTTTTTAAGTCTTACGGTGTAAGTCAGGCTAGCCTTGAACTTATGATCCTCCTGCCTGACATCCCAGGTGTGGAGATTGCAGGACTGCACCATTATATCCAGCTGAAGCTTTGCGTTCACGATCCTGGGTAAGTCACTGTCCTTGGGCCTCGGTTTTTGCCTCTTAAACAATGGTAACAACAAAAACTCTGACCCAGTCCTAGGACTAATTCGGGGATTGGATGACATGCAAGGTAAGAGAGTGCTTTGCCAACTGGAAAGCACTACCCTGCTGGTTTAATTTCCTATACACGTCCTACGCTGGACGACTGACGGCCATGATTTCATTTAATCCTTACGTAACTTTTTGGTAGAATCATGCTGTTACCTTTTCTGTTGATAAGACGCAGGCAAAATGTATTCCTTGGGACCACACCACTGAAAAGCAGCTGAGCCTAGACCTGTGGCCAACTGTTATCAACCTGTGCCAGACTGATGACCACATAGGTGAGGACTGGTCACCTCATCTGGTCAACAGTCCTCCCCCCATCTAAGGAAGCCAGCAGGCATGTGCTTCTCACCTGGAGGCCTTCTCTGACAGCTTCCAGGAGGTAGGGGATGATGGAGTAGTTCCATAGGTCTGTGAACCATACTCTGGAGCCATCCACATCGATGGGACATGACAGGAAGAGCCGGGGACCTGGCGATGATAGTGAAAACACACAACTGAAATGGGGTGGGCTGGGGTGCTGGTCCAAGTTCCCCTCACTGGTATGATACCGGATTTTCTGAGCAGTGATAGAGTTGGTGGCTTGAGGGCTGATGGTAGGCTCTGAAGGAGATACCTCAGTTTCCTCACCCCAATCCTCAAGGAAACCACCCAAAAGTGAGGACAGGGTCTAGGGAGAAGGTATTCTGTAGAGCTCCTGATCCTGAGTTTTAAGAGAGGAGACATGGTTAAGCAAACAGGGGAACGCTCACATTTGATTATTCTGGTATGATACCGGATTTTCTGAGCAGTGATAGTTGGTGGCTTGAGGGCTGATGGTAGGCTCTGAAGGAGATACCTCAGTTTCCTCACCCCAATCCTCAAGGAAACCACCCAAAAGTGAGGACAGGGTCTAGGGAGAAGGTATTCTGTAGAGCTCCTGATCCTGAGTTTTAAGAGAGGAGACATGGTTAAGCAAACAGGGGAACGCTCACATTTGATTATTTTGAGGACTTTAAACATGATTTTAAGAAATGGCTAGCGACACAGAATGCTCAGGGGCCAGTGTGAGATGCAAAAGACATTGCCCGTGCACACGGTCTGCACCCTCAGAAGACATGGGTGTACCGACGGTCAGGAGGAACAAGCTCAGACTGGAATGACGAGGACAGGGGAGTTGTGGTCTTTTTGCCGTTTCAGTTCCTCAACTTCTGTCTGAGTAGGCTGTGTGGTACAGCCTCGGGCACCTGGAGTGGGACTTTTTACTAGGCTGTTTGTTTCTGCCCCAGCGTGGGCAGGACATATCTCTGCAGACACTGGTCTGAGTCCATCTCTGTTTGCAGGCGTCCCTCTGACCCTTCTTTATCCCTGAGACTCTGGCCAGGGTGTAGCGGATGGTGTGTGAAGGAGTCAGGGATCCTGGAGACCAACACCCACCCATCTGCCCAGCAGCTTGCCCCAGCTTGCCCAGCCTCCCACCTACCAATGGTGACATCCGAGGAGCTGTGTGCCTCCAGGAAGCGATTAAGGTGATGCCAGACTTTGGGGATCCAGTTGATGATTTTTACCAGCTCCACATTGCGCACCCGCCCACTGATCTCCGTCTCCATGAGCTTCCTCCTCAGGAAGCGGCCAAGGAAACCCTTCACGGGCTCTGTGTGGTTGGCACAAAGCACCCACCTGGAGGGAAGTCGGGGGAATGCCTTTCAAGCAGATGGACACCCAGCAAGGCATGGCAAGACTCAAGAACCAAAGTGGGAATGGAAAGTGAACATACTCATGCCAGAGGAGCCCCAATCCCCGCATCTACCAGACATAGGTCTATACACGGTACAGACACATGACCTCAGCTCCTTTCAGCAGCTGAGGCATGTCACCATCCCCACTTCACAGAAACACTGAGGCAAATGTAGGTCAGCAACATGCTCAGTGTCAAACAGCTGGTGAAAACATAAGACTAGACCCCCAGGATGGTCCAGCTCCAGGGTCTAAGGTCTAACCAATGAGCAGACAGCCCCTGTGCTTGGAGCCAGGCCTAGAGAACTCAAATGGTGACTGACCATGGTAGTCAGAGTCCACGGCACCAGAAACTCACAAGTGAGCAGAGGAGGTTGCCAAGTAAACAGAGGATGAGACACCACAGACTTGGATGCAGGGAGTCCCCTCCCTGAGATGCTGAATGGGCTGATGGCCGGGCTTGAGGAGAGGCAGGAGTGGGTGTGGGGTGGGAGATGGGGGGTGGGCACCATGTCATCTTTGCAGAGATGTCCAGGGAAACTGTCAGAGGCTCAGTACAGCCAAAGTTTAGATGTCAACTGTCAGCTTAAGGTGATTTCATCCTCTGGGCAATTGGGCTCTTTGAGGGACTCCTGACAGGAGTATTAGTCAGAGGCAGTGTCCAGGAGCAGAGGGGCCTGAGGGGTGGGGTACAGGCTGCAGGCAGGTGAGCAGTTAGATCACTGCAACAGTATGCCCCGTTACAAGGGGTGATGGGTTTCAGGGATGGTCAGGAAACAAGAGCTGGGCAGCCTGGAGGAGGGGGGCCCATGCTGTCTATGGCCGGAGTAGCTGACATTTCTCTAATCATTATAGCTGAGGCTACATGTAGCAGATTTCAGAGAGGCCTGCATGGCAGTCAGTGAAGATGTACCCAGGGTCCTCATCCAGGAGAGGCAGGCTCTCCTTCCACCCAGGGGCCCAGGCAGGGCTCAGAACAGGTGGCAGGTGCTGAGTGATGTCAGGGTAAGCAGCACAGAGCTGAGCCGTCTTGGAGAAAAGACCAGCTAGCAGGGATCTTGAAGGCCCACAGACCTGGGGACATTCACAGGTAGGTATGTCACCTCTCACGCTCACGTGGGACAGAGACACACAGCACAGCTCATGTGCACAGCTGGCAGGCCTCATAAATTATGGAGTTCCTTGAGCCTCCATTTCCCCGTTTACATACAGAAAGGCAAATGGAACGGACACACCAGGCTGCCTGCCCGCCCGTCCGTCCTTCCTTGCTTTCTTCCTCTGGATTCTTACCTACCTGGAAGAGGGGGGATGCCTTACCTGAAGTTATGATGAAGCTGGAGGTTGGGAGTGGACGAGGTAGCCTGGTTCATCGTGCCAATGATGTAAGGACTGCGGAGAGCATGAAGGCGAGCAGGTCAAAGGTGAGCTGGAGCCAAGGGTGCCCGTGCAGACGCGCACACCCCCGGCTGCGAGTGTCGCATTCACCGTGACACTGGCCAGGGCCACCAGCATGCCCAGTTCCCCCCTGTGTGGGCCCGACCCCTGACCCCAAAGCCCAGATCCAGCCTTTACCATTTATGGTACTTGCAGTTGAGCAGCCCGTTGAAGATCTCACCCAGGGAGCTCACGTGGTGCAGGTTGTCCAGGATGATGACCAGCGGCATGTCCACAGCGTTGTTCTCGCTGTTGCACTGGTCAGCCAGGTTGGACAGGTACTGGCGCAGCTCCTACAGAGGCCAGGAAAATGAAGCATGCACACCAGGCCTTCGCTTACCCAGGCAGAAGGACCCCCCGCCATGACGTCACACCGTGAACATAACCTGAAGGCCTGCCTGTCACAGGGCACTGGCTTGGTGATCAAGGAATGTTATTGGCATGGACAAGTAAGGCCTGGGGTCCTGCCTCCCGGCACTTACAAAATGGGTGGCTTAGGCCCTCTCTCTTTTTTTAAACCCTCTATGAGCACACGTGCATATATGTGTATGCATGTATTCAGATGTGCGTACATGTATGTGTCAGTGTGTACAGGTTAGAAGACGACTCTAGGTATTGTCCTCAGGAGCCATCTACCTTGTTTTTTGAGACAGGGTCACTCACTGGCCTGGGACTCACCCAGGAGGCTATGCGGGCTGACCACTGAACTCCAGGATCTGTCTCCATTCCCAGCCTTTATTAAAACGGACTGAACTCAGACCCTCCGTGCAAGTACTTTACTGAGACATCTCTCTAGCCCACAGGCCCAATCGACCACTTCTTTAGAAATTTCTTCTCAGTATTTCTGAGGTTAATCTCCCAGTATGCTTCATTGTTATCCCCATAGCACCCTCCTGAGAGCTGGAGCCCCAGGAAGACTGGAGCACAGAGGCCCCGGCCACACCCAAGTGCCGCTGCATAGCGCTATGGAAGACACGAGGACGTGCAGGGGCAGGCGAGAGTCCATGTGCTTAGGAATCTGCGGACGACCAGCTGCAAGGGCCAACTTTGATTGAACCTTGAGGAGTGGGTGGGGCACTGGCTTGGCTGGGGACTGGGACGCAGCCCAGTGTGCCTGGGTAAGAGCTACGTGTCAAGAAAGGAAGGGAAGGATGGTGTAGTGGGGAACATGTGTCTGTTGCCACGCCTGAGGGAGAACCTGATGATCTCAGCCTCACACAGCAAGCTCACACGGGACTCACATGGGAACTTCTGCAGTCCGAGAACCTGTGGAGTGAGGGACTGACGAGCTCCAGGTTACACAGTCACGTGACTGGCCTGAGACACCACGGGGGTGGGGGAACAGTGGGCTGGTCAGACTGGGTGTCTGTAAAGGGTCTTTACCACACCCACTTGTCCCAGAGGCTGGCCCAGCTGGGGAGGGTGGTGGCTCATCTACCTTCTGCAAGTATAATTCTGCAGGCCTCCCTTTCAAGTCAAAATGGTTGTAGCTCAAGGAATCCCCTTGCTGTCAGTCACTGCTCACCACAGCCAGACCTGCAGGTTCCCTGTCCTCTGCACCGCCCGCCAGGTGCACTGCTCAGCTGTGGCCTGTATGGGCACTCTGCCCCAAGGGAACGGAAGCCACCTGGGCACATCTTACCAGCCACTTGCTGTGTGGCCTCCCTTTGCTCACTCACACATAGCTGTTGAGAAAGACTGAGAGCTTTTCTCGCCCCACAAGGGTAACTGGTGAGTGGGACAGATTCCTGGCCCCACACAACCATGGGATAGGCCATGAAAAGGTGAGCTCTAGGTGGCCCAGGCTCACAGATGGCTCACAAGGCAGGGAGCCCCTCCATTTCACCTTTGACTCTTTTCTTTTCCTTAAGTATTTTATTATTTTTATTTTATGTGTATGAGTGTATTGCCTGCATGTATGTAAGTGCATCCCTATCATGCAAAGACTGTGGAGGCCAGAAGAGGACCTCGGATCCCCTGGAACTGGAGTTATGGACAGTTGTTAGCGGCCATGTGGGTGCTGGGAATTGAACCCGGGTCTTCTGGAAGAACAGCAAGTGTTCTTAACCGCTGAGCCATCTCTCCAGCCCTCACCTTTGATTCTTAAAGGTGTGCTACCTAGCACCAAACAGAGTAATCACCAGCCCTCACACAAATGAATAAACAGATGCCCCTGCAAACACCCTTCACAGCCCCCAGCCAGGGCCAGGTCAGATCCTATCCACAGGTCCCCACGGTTCACTATGTGGCTGGCCACAGGGTTCTGGAGTCTGAGGCCTCAACCTAAGCCCCAGTTCTAACACTTAGCATGGTCTAAACAGTGTTAGGGATATGACACGTGCACCTCAAGCTGCTGTTCTCTGCTCTGTAAAACGGGACAAGGGCAACTACTCCCTGGACGGCACTCTGTGAGGGCAGCCTGCCACTCCTCCAGCACAAGCCATTGTGACTGTCGACCCACTAAATGTTTTATTTGAGAAAAATAACAATACTTGGGAGGTACGTGGTAAGTTCTCGCTAAGCTGGACACACCTAGGAGGGACCTGAAGGAGCCACTAGCCATAGACACAAAAGAGCAACTGGTCTTGGCCCAGATGGTGCTTCTGACCAGGAGGGCTGACTGCAAGCCTTCCTTTCTACTGGTCCCATTTGACCTCTTCCTCTGGCTTTCTAGGAAGGCTAGCTTAGAGGAGCTGCTCAAGGTAGTGGTAAAGAGCTGACATATAGCAGCTCAGAATGATCTCCTCACCTTGCTGGACTTGTGGTCCACATTAAAGGTGGCGATGACCCCATCTGTCAACTCCCGTCCTTCCCGAAGGACCACGTACTCGGACAGCCGGTTGGCCAAGTAGGTTTTCCCGGTGCCGCTGGGGCCGGAGAGGATGATACGGCGGTGCTCAGTCAGCAGGGAGACATAGCGCTGCAGGATGGGCTTAGGGATCAGGGACTCGAACACCAGAGAGTCCAGGCTGTTTTCTGTGAGCCCTGTTTGAGAGAGATGGGGAGGGCTTGAAGTTGGGCAGACAGCAGCTCTCCTTGGCAGCCCACTCCCATCTAAGACCACTGCCTCCCAGGTACTCCAAAGGCTGACAACCCAATCCTTCTGCAGTTAGAAGCTACCCTCCTGGCCATGGGTATCTTTTGCTTCGGGTTCCTCCAGCTTAAGACTCCCCTGCAGTATCTGGGCCTTCGGTTCTCTGCAGAGCGCCGAAGGCTCTGGGCTCTGTGTGCCTCTTTACATTTTCCAGTCCTGTGGTATCTGGCCCAAATTTCTCCTGGGTCTTGTCCACCCACATCTGCCACGACCCCGGGTTGCCGCTTCCCCAGTTCTCTTCTCTCCTTCCTTCTAGGCACCTGCTTAGGTGTGCCAAGAAGGCAAGGTTGGATGCAGGGTGCGATCCTGATGTTGGAATATGGATCCTGACCAGAAGGCCTAGAGTGAAATGCTACATGCTGAGACGTTAGATTGGCAACAGAGCCACATGGAAGTTTTTCTCTCTCCTTTCCTACCTGAGAAAACCCCATTAACCAGAGTTGTTCACTTTACAAGAGCTGGTCTCAGGGCTGGGGGAACAGGACAGCTCAGTAAAGTGCTTGTGTTGAAAACATAAGGATCTGAGTCCAATCTGCAGAATGTACATAAAATAAAGCCAGGCATGGTGGCACAAACTTGTAATCCCGGCACGAGGGAGGCAAAGACAGCATTCCTGGGACTCACTGGCCAAACAGCCTAAGCCTACTGGGCGAGTTCTAGGCCAATGAGACCCTGTCTTAAAAAACAAGGCAGACAGTACCTGAAGAGTGATGGCTGAGGGCACATATGCACTTGTACACACACGCATACATGGCACCTGTACACGCATACATGGCTAGCCATCTAGAACCTGTAGCAATTCCATCTGAAAAGTGCCCTCAGGAAAATCAGTATGCAGGGGCTGCAGAGATGGCTCAGGGTGAAGAGCACTGGCTGTTCTCACAGAGGACATGGATTCAAATCCCAGTACCACATGGTAGCTAACAACCATGCTTCACTCCAGTTCCAAGGGATCCAACGCCCTCTTCTGTCACAGGCACTGCACAACATGGGTGCACTTCCACACATGCAAACATAACACTCATTCATATAAAATCAAAATAAATAAAAATAAGAAAGCCAGTCCACACAAGTGAGGAGGCAGAGCGCGGCCTTCATCCTGTCGCCCAGGAGCCTTCTCACTACAGCAGGATGGCCTCTAACGCAGTGACGGTTTGTTTCTCATTCTCCCCCTACAACATCACCCCCAAAGCAACAACTGCTCCAGGAGGAAGACCCCCGAGTGCCTTACCTTCTGGGGAGAGGCCTATGAGCTTCCTACAACCCAGCCCTATTCCCGGTCAAACCTACATTCCAGGGCACTGAAGAAATGGCTCAGTGGTTAAGAACACTGATTGTTCCTGCAGAAGACCCAGGTTTGAATCCCAGCACCCACATGGCAGCCAACAACTGTCCTAACTCCAGTTCCAGGGGATCAGACAGCCTCTTCTGTCCTCCACAGGCATTGCACGACATGGGTGCACTTACCTACATGCAGGCATAACACTCATACACATAAAATAAAAATAATAAATAATTAAAAAAAAAAGAAAAACAGGGGAGAAATCACTAACACACTTTCTTTACATATATGTTACTGTTTTGCATTAAGTTTTCTGGAGGATGCTTATACTGCAGACTGACTCACTTCACATATGAAGTCATGGGCAAGCAAGATGGTCAGCAGGCAAAGGCGCTTGCCACCAAGTCTGGCGACTTGAGCTAGATCCCTGGACGCACATGGTGAGAGGAGGGAACCAACTCCTGAAAGCTGTCCTCTGACCTCCACACACATGTACTCTGTGGCACATGCACCCCTCCCTTAAATTAAAAAAAAAAGACTATGCAAAGCCACCCCTTCCCTGGCACCACAGGAATGGATCACTACAGTGAATGGGGCCCTTCTGGAGAAAATCCTTGACTGAATTTTAATGCTTTGAAAGCAGAAGCTTGAAGCACTCCAGAACCTATGAGTTGAGTATCAGTACAAAATAAAACCTGAGCTGATCCCTACAGATGCTGAAAGTCCCAATGAGCTGACAGCAGCCAAGGGCCAGGATCTGTGGGATGGGGGTGCCACACTCCTTCAGGAGTGGGCCATCTTGTAACTCACCCCACACAGGTCAGCTTTACCCTTCAGTGCTTGCCGTGCCCACTGTGAAAGTATCCGGGGAGCCCAGGGCGGGAAGGGCTCTCATTCCGTGTTCATGTTACTGTTTCCATGTGCCTGGTGCCTCTTCCTGCTTTCCCTGTGGCAGGATTCTCTCCTACAGAGTTCCGACCCCTTCATATGCCAACGGGCTGAGGGCTTGTGACAGGGTGGGGTGAAGCTTTTCCCAGCCATGACGACCCGATGGTGGGCACTTGACTTATGTGGGGGTTGAGTCAGCTTTAGAAAATTCCTAACACCCTTCCAAAAAGTTCTCCTTCCTTTAGGTTCCTGAGCTAGAAGAATGAATCAAGGCTATTTGGGGCCATTAGACCTGGTCCTGACCACACTGTTGGAGAACCTAGATCTGGCTGTGCCTGAAGCATACTCTGGATTTCCCAGGTATCCAAGCCAGACATCTCCTGGTATGTGCTGTCCCTCTGGAGTTGTTTTGTGCCACTTTAGCCCAAGGGCACAACTGTGGAATCTGACTTGCCATCAAGATAAACTGGGTGAGGTCTAGGCAATTGTAACCACAGAGAGCGATCTTGATCGCTGCTGATAGGGAACTTTCTGGTTTTACACTGTCAACTTGACAGGCTCTGAAATCATCCTGGAGACACATTTCTGGGCCGATGAGGGAGCTTGGGGATCAGGTTAATTGAAGTAGGAGGACGCACCCTAAATGTGGGAGGCACCATCACATGGAGTGAGAACTGAGGCTCCATATAAAGGCAAAAGTGAGCCGAGCACCAGCACTCAGCCTCCTTCCTGGCTGTTCACCTGTTCCTGACGGCAGATGTGTTGTGACCAGCCACCTGCTGCCGTCATGCCTTCCCCACCATTACCGGCTCTTTGAACTGTAGCCAAAATAAACTCTTCCTTCCTTAAGTTGCTTCTGTCAGGCATTTGTTCACAGCTTTGAGAAGAGTAATGAATGCAGAAAATTGGTCCAAGAAGTGGGGCGACTACGTGATAAACATGACATGTGGTTCTGAGGACTTTGGAGTTGGGGGAAGAAAGACGGTGAAGTGGTTGGAACTTCAGGCCGGAAGAGGCCCAGAATGCCATCAGCAGAGTTTAATGAGTCGTCCTAGTGGGAACTGGAAAGCAGAGTACTGACAGAAAGAAACTTGGCCAATAGGCCTGGCCATGAGGATGCCCCTGGGAACTGGGTGGGGCACATTCTGCTACATTCTTGTAAATACTCTGTTATATTCTGTCCTGAGAACTTGAGTGGGGGCTGAATTTAAAAGTAACGGAGTAATGCCTTTGGAGGAGGAAATTTCAAGGCATGACAACATTCAGTCTGATGGTTACAGCTTAGCACTGTTACCCAGGTCTAGAGTGGAAAAGAACATCCAGTGGGGCAAAGAGATAGAAAAATGTCCAATTTGTTGAAGAAAAGAGCTTGGGAAACTGTAAAGTCACTGCTAAAGTACATACTGAAAAACAGGCTGTAGTTGTTAAGGATCCTCCTGCCCTGCACTGGAACAGGAAAGACACCGTGCCACAGAAGGGCTTCCCTGCTCAAAAACTGCCTGGGAAAGTGACTTTGCTGATCAGCCACCAAGGCACACAGAGGCCACCATTGCTGCGGTCCAAGGGGCCAGGCTCATCTCGAGCTGACAGCAGACCTTGGCAGCATCGTCCACGTGCTGCTGGTTTTGCAGGCATGGAAGAAGTAAGATTGAGGGGATCATGGAGTTTTGCTTCAGAGTTCCAGAGAGACACTGAGGTTGGGCATCATGGGGCAGGGTCCGAGTCCCTGCAAGTAAGCCACTGCATGGATCTCTGAAGTGGGGAGACCATGGAGACCCCAGGATGTTGGAGATGCCAGAACCATGGGGAATCTGCCAAGCAAAGCTTCAGGCATGGAGAGGAGCTGGTTCAAGAGAGAGAGTCTGTGCCATAGGCAGTAGAGCCCAAGGTACCTGACATGGAGCAGCAGAATTTGGTGTTTAACTGCCACACTTCAGTCTTTCTTTATCCGAACTTTCACTGCTAACCCCTTCCTTTTTGGAACAGGCTCTTTATTTATTTTTTCATCATATATTGGCAGTATGTAACTTGTTTTATTTTTATAGGGGCTCACAATTAAGAGAATGCCTAGAATCTCAGCTGAGACTTGGACTTTGGATTTTTAAAAAGTCTTGGAGCTATTAGGACTATGGTTATTTTTGAAATTAGACTGAACACATTTTTGCACTGAGATGATCGTGAGTCTACAGGGTCAAAGGATGGAAGGCTAGGCCTTAAAAGTGTTACGTTTGGCTGTCAAGCTGACAAGGGATGGACTTGTAATGGTTTATAACAATTGCTTATGTGACCAGATCTAGAATCACCTTGGAGGCAAGCCTCTGGGCATTCCTGTGAAGGATTTTCTAGATTACGTTGGTTAGGTGGGATGATCCGCTATGGGCTGGGGTCCCAGACTGTATAAAAATGAGATGGCCGACTGAGCAGCACTTATGTATGCTTTCTGACTGGGGTGCAATGTGACCAGCTGGCCCCCTGCTCCTCCCACCATTCCCTCTCCCCACGATGGACCACATCTTGAACTGTAAGCCAAATAATCCCTTCCTCACTTAAGTTGCTTCTTGTCAGGCGTTCTGTCACAGCGACATGAAAAGTAATTAACACAGCTACTAAGGAATGGAGCTTGCGACAAAACAACTCCAAAACTTTCCTGCCTAAACTTCATCGGGATCAATAAAGAAAAAAGCTGAAAGGGGTGGGCCTCGTCCTGGTCATCCAAGTCTGTTACCCAGGAGGTCCATGAACACAGAAACGAGTGGGTCAAATTTGGAACAGGCTGGAAGGAGGAGGCTTTTGGACACTGGGAGCTTGGACATTAAAGGACACATCCACTCACTTAACCAGGGCACTTCTGTCCACTCACAACTCAGATGCAGTTTTCCAGACTCACATGACTGTGATCCTTTTTTTCCATGACAGAACTTTGGGATCCGCAGTTCTGTGGAACACACTGTGCCCCAGGGCTTAGCCCTCCCGGGAGCTGAGGCTTTGGAAGGTGCATGGGTGATTTCATCCGGATGCTTGCAGAGACCACCCTGTAGCCTTCAGCTCCTCAGTTTCCCAACTGTAGAATGGGCTCACATCCAAGGCTGGCTGGCAAACGCCATTCATTGCTTTGGTAAAGTGCCATTTCAACAGTTACTAAAGAGTTATTAAAATTCCATCATCTCAGTCATAAGGCTAATGGGACCTTTTGATGCCTAATTGCAGTAATAAACTAAAATTATCTGTTTCCGATGGTACAACTTGCTTGGGGGGAGTAACTGAAGTAAGAGAAAAACAAAACAAGACAAGAAGGAAACCCACATGTCTAAGCACAAATGGAAGGGGAGGCTAGCATGACTCCTGAGAGCTCTGGCCGCCACAGCCTCCACTTACCCTTGACAGTCACCAAGATGGTGGTGTTCTCTCCTACCAGGTAGCCACAGGGAAGGAGTTCAGGGGTCTCTGAGCTGCTGCTGCGCTTGATCTCGCCGATACTGTAACCGAGAACACTGTCCGAACTGAGCCCCAGCTGACTCACTGGGTCGACATGAACGATGTATTCCTGGAGAAAACAAAACACAGATCCCACTGGAGAGCTGGCTAAAACCTGCTCTGGACTCCATTTTCAGTGGATGAATGATGGGTGTCCTGGCTTTCTCAGATGAGGCAGGAGCTAAGGTTGAGCTGTGGTGCTCACTCTGACAAGAATACTCTCAAATCCCAGGCCTCTTATGACACAGAGCTACTCACTCAGGAATGAAGAAAAACAAGCCCTAACAAGACCATGAGCATCCAGACCGGATGAAGGGTGCTCTCCCTACATTCAGCTGAAGTCTTGACAGCATGAGGGTCTGGGAATGATACTGAGCCATTCATGAAAAGCTGACAGGAGTCTCTCCACCCCTCTGCTGGCTCAGAGCAAAGACAGGAGCAAAGTCCAGGGGTGCTAGAGAAAAGTACCAATACAGCTTCAAAAGTATCTGTGGGTTTCATCTGCAAAGAGTCCCCTTGACTAGGATGGTTCATACTGATGGTCAATTGCCAGTGTCAATGCTGACAGGATCTAGAACCACCTTGGAGACAAACCTCTGGAAATGTCTAGGGGAGGAAGCTTCATGATTGGGTTAACTGAGGTGGGAACACCCACCCTAAATGTGGGCCGGCACGGCCATTCCGTGGACTGACTTCTGGCCTGAATAAAAAGGACCAGGTAAGCTCTGGCACATCTCCACTTGCTGAGTGTACATGCAGAGACCAGCTGCCTTACACGCCTGTCATCATGCCTTCCCTGTCGTGATGAACTACATTTCGTATTAAACAGTGAGCTGAAAATAAACCCTTCCTTAAGTTGTGTATATATTTATCCGTGTGCACTGCACGTTTCTAGAATTGCATTTGTGTAGGTGTGTGTATGCAAGCCAGAGGATACTCAAGCACCCTCATTTTTGAGACAAAGTCTCTCACTGGCCTGGAACTTCCAGGAAAGTGAAGCTAGCTGGCCAGAGAGCCCCAGGGACCCATCTGTCTCTGTCTCCTCCCCAGGGCTGGGATTACAAGCACACACCAGTGCACTAGGCTTTTTACATGGGTTCTGGGGCTCAAACGCAGGTCTTCATGCTTCCAAGGCAAGCCCTTTACTGATGTAGCAACCTTTCTGGCCCCAGTTACTTCTGTCATGTATGATATCATGACAACAAGAAATGTAATCAATTCAGCAGCAAAAAGGCCAATGGCTGTAGGTCTGTCTGTGAGGTGCCATGCAATTGCTATGTTGGTCCTAGCAACAGGTCTCTGGTGGTCTCTGCCATTTACTCTGACACGCCCCCGACACACACTGCTGCCTTTCTAATCTAAACACACAGCCTCTGAAGCAGAAGCTGGGTGCTGGGCAAGGAGGTAGAACTGGTCTGTCCTAGCCCTTCCTGACTCCTGCTGGGTTAACTCCTCTGTAAGCTGGAGGAATGAGGAATGTTAACCATGGTCAAAAGCACTGAATTTTCCTTGTGTACAGCTGTCCTGACCCTCATGCTAGAAAGGACACAGTGGTGGACTAGGTAAGTCAGGTTTGGAAGGCAGGCAGCAGAACCAGACTACTGGTCTACCTCCATGTCCTTCACATTAGGCTGGGGCCGTAAGCAGAGCCCCACTTGCCTCTAAATGAGACAATAAAGGGCTTAGAGTGGTCTCCATTGCTCCCACTCAGGAGACACAACACTTGGGGCTCCCGATTTACCTCAAGATAGAAGGGAAAACTTGAAAGCTTCTCTCAAATCACTTTAAGCCCCAGAATTCACCTTGGTCCTCATTAATAATTTTTGCTATGGCAAATACCCAAACCAATGGGATGGCCCTGCCAGCATCCTTGACACGGGGCGCTGATGGGATGTTACTGTCGGATACTCAGCAGCACTGACACAGGGAGCTGGGCCTATGAAGTCCAATCCTAAAGCCCCCAGTAAGAGGCAGAAATGTGCTGCCTTGGGTGCTGTCCCTCCAATGCTTATCTGACAAGATGGAGGTTCACTGTGAGTGGACCAAGTCGTTGTGAAATGATGAGAGCTGGCCAGCCACTGCCAAAGGCAGATGACAGTGTGACCGCTAGCCAATCTGTACTTATGAGGGGAAGACCAGAGGACAGGTCCTAGCAACAGAAGGATCTGGAGGAATGGGTAGGCTGGGAAAATGGCCCAGGTCCTTGAACAACCATCCCCTCCATGCCCTCCCCAAGCCCACAGCGTGGCTTTCTTCTTGAGGCACTTACTTTGAATAGCCGTCTAACCACCCCATCAAGCACGTCCCACTTTGTCTTCCCACTAACTCCAATGCAGCCAATGAGGAAGAGGTGAGGTCTGGAGTCCTAAGGGCGAGGAGACATGTACAGGTGAGGACAGTGGTCTGCTTCCTGCCCTGGCTCAGCAGAGGGTTCAGTGTGCCAAGACCGGAAATGAAAGTCCTAGTTCCTTCAATGCCAGGCATGACTTGGCTGGCAGGCCTTAAATCTTTTCCTTCTTCTCCTGCTAAAACCGTAGTGGGTCAGGAAGACAAAAATCTCTTCTCTGGAACCTGGAATCATCAGCCCAGCGCAACTCTTGTACAAGGCATGGGTTACACATCCCTTGACTGTAACCCTCCCGTGTCTGCCAGTCCCTTTTCAAACTTTGCTAAAGAACTCACCTTTTCTCAGGAAGCCTTCGGGGACTGAACTGCCTGGCTCAAAGACTCTGGACAGAACTTACACAGTGATATTCTCAACTTCCATATATTTCATTACAACTACTTATTTTTTAAATAAAGTTTCTCATTTTATTAAACTTTTTCAGAGAATGTTTCTATTTTTCTTCTCTTTTAAAAAACAACATTTACTACATTCCTTTCATTAAAAGTTTAAGTGAACTTGGTTCAGAAAAGTAAAAATTCTGGGAAGACTGCCAAAAAAACCACCTTTTTTTCTCCATTTCTCGTGTATCTACACCCACAGGGGTTAACTGATCACAGTGAGTAAAAGGAGCTGATAGAACATTCCATTCTGCTGGTCTTATAAATATCACACATGCCTGTAAGGTAGGAGAGGGGTAGGGCCGAATGGCAGCCGATCAGCATGTGGCAGCTAGGCAAAGTCAGCAGAAGGAAAGAGCATCAACCAGTCTGGCCCTGACATAGCCTGGCCCCACAATCACCTTAGGGTCTTGGGTGTCTCAGCTGAAAATTGGAGATAATACCCTGGTCAATGAGCCTCTTGTGATGCTGCAGTGACCCAGATCTCCAAAAAAATGTCACGTCTAACTGTTCCTACTGATGAATGTGAGAGTAAATGGCATGTAGAGAGGTCACTTGTGTTGTAAGAATGCTATGCGCATACCCTTGACCTCAGCACTTGGGAGGCAGAGGCAGATAGGTCTCATTGAGATCAAGGCCAGCCTGGTCTATATAGCAAGTTCTAGGCCAGCTGGGGCTACAGGAGACCCTGCCTTTAAAAAAGAAAGGGAGGGAGGTTTCTGTATGAAACAGTATATTTTAAAATGACAAGGAGATATTTTTTAAAGGTTAAAACCTCATTCAATTTTATGGAGGGAGGGAGGGAGGGAAATAAAGAATGCTGTGGAATGAATTCGAGTTCCTTTCCAGGACAGACAACACAGATCCCAGGAACATACAGATCTGGATTTAGCCTTCCAGAAGGCCAGTGAGTCAGTCACCCAGTGGCAAGGCTGGCAGAGGAAAGTCTGACTGCATGCACTTTGTTTTGCTGGGCACTCTGAGTTTCCTAGCTGTCTGAAACCCTAACAAGAAGCTGGCATTTCTATAAAACCCCTCAGCTGGGCATGGGGGTGCAAGTCTTTAATCCCAGCAGAAGCAGGGGAAGCTCTGAGTTTGAGGCCAGCCTGGTCTCTACATAGGACGTTCTAGACCAGCCAAAATCAAAGAAAGAAAGAAAGCAAACCAAACCAAACACAATAACAAAAATCCCTAGGTCTCGATGTGGTAATGCATTAGACCATTTCCCACTCTCATGGCCAAGATCACCCAGAGCGTCAGTAGGACTTAACTGCTGGCCGAAACACATCTTACCTCGGAATAGTCTCTGGCAGAAGTATAGGCCGGAACACACACTGTACTGGAGCATCAGCTCCCAGCCTCAGTGACTTAGGTTGCCCCACACCCTCCCCCTCTTGGCCACCTGCGATCCCTGAACTCAGCTGAGGGCCGCCCGTCTCCCAGAAAGGGAGGGTATCTGTTGTGCAGGCAAGATGAGACAGAACTGGGTCCAGTGAACTCCTCCCTGTGAAAGGTGCGTAGCTACCTGGGAAAATACTCAATTCAGAACAGCCATTTCTGAGGGTGTTCATGTTTATAAGCGTTTAAAGCACAACGCAGTGCAAGGTGTGGCTGTTTTTAGCAAACTTAGTCTCTTAAACAACAGAAAGGAAGTGCTATGTGCTCATTTTGTGTCAAAGAACTGCAGAGGTTACAGGAAAGACTGCTGAGGATTGTGGGTAGAGGGGGAAGTGCTCAGAGGATGATGGGTCCAGGAGGGACCTGCCAAGGATTGTGGGTACAGGAGTCGCCATTTATCTGAAGTTGCACTTTCTGTGTTTTCAGGAGGCTAACTCAGAACACTGTTATAATTATTCTATTTTCTCTTCCTAATTTCTTTCTTTTCTCCCTACCTGTGGTGCTGGGTATGGGGCCCAGGACTTGTGCATGCTAGGTAAGCACTCGGCCACTGAGCTGTACCCCTGCTCCACTCACAAACCTCTTAAATATCTAGTCCATACATTAAGCTTTATCCTGCATACATATATACAGAACGACATAGCATGTACGGGGTTCAGTACTCTCCACACGTCAGGCATCCCCTGGTCCTGGAACTCTTGTTGAGTGAGGAGGACGGCTGTATCAAGAAAGGTGTTAGCATTTCCCACCACCTTGGGTTTCCGGTTAAGTGGCTAAGCTAGGCAGTTCTACCTGGGGAAGGAACAGGCAAGCAGGGAGAGGGATCCAACTGACCTCCTTCCAATTCATTGCCTCCTGAAAGCTGACAACTATCTTAACATGCCTGCCTCCTTCCTTCCGAGTCGAGCATTCACCAGGGTCATCCAGCAACATGTCTGCGAATGAAAACATCAACAGCCTTAGGCACGTGAGGACAGCAAAGCTGCTTCCCGGAGCCCCTGCTGCCTGCGGGCACAGCAGCAGGTCAGACCAGGCGTCGGGGTGCAGGGGAGGTGGGGTGGGCACGGGGGAGGGAAAGGTGGAGAATGTAGTCACAGAAACCAATGGTGGGTGGGCCAAGGAGCCAGCTGATGATGCATCTTGCCGGATGGAAGTGCGAGGGAGACTCAACCAAACAGCAGCAGCAGCAGCATCATGGGTAAAAAATAAAAGAGCCAGCTTTGAAATGCTCACAAAGAAAACCCAAGGTGCATTCTGGGATGATGTGCCAGCCTAGAGTCCACCCCCACAGCAGGCAGGCTGGAGAGCCAGGACGTGGCCCCTACGGGACCTGCTACCGAGGGGTGTATGAGTCTCAGGCCTGCAGGTCAGCCTCGTAAAATAAATCAAACAGAACTCAGCATGATGGGCAAGGGGAAACCCAAGCTCATAGCCTGAGGAATTTGGAGTGCTGGAGCAAAGCATGGAACACTCTAATGGCTGGGCTCACATTGGTAGCAGACACACACCCAGACACACACTCCTATCACCTCGCCATAGGCTCTGTGGGCCTGGGCATCCCAGGCTCACACTGGAGACTGGGCCAACTGCAGGCCCCTACCTACCCTACTTCCATGAGTCACTCACCCAGGCTGGGGAACTAGCCCTGCCCAGAGCCCTACAATCTGCTCACCCAAGCTGAAGGACTCAGCCTGTCCCAAGTTCTGAGAGCTGGTCACTCAGACTGATGGACTGAGCCTGCCCCTGGTCCTGGCCCCATGAGCCATTCACCCTGGCTGGTAGACTAGGCCTGCTCCTCTGGCCTGTGAGCCACTTACCCAAGCTGAAGGACTCAGCCTGCCTCCAGTCCTGTGAGCCACTCACCCAGGTTGGTGGACTGGGCTTGTTCCTGGCCCCACAAGCCCCTCACTCAGGCTGGTGGGCTGGGCCTGCCCCTGGTCTGTGAGCCACTCACCCAGGCTGGTGGACTCGGTGAGGTTCAGGCTGTGCTGGGAGAGGCCCAAGGACTGCCTTGGGGAGGCAGAGATGGACACCTGGGAGGGGGCCCGGCTGCAGCCACTGCCTTGAGACTCCGATTTCAGTCGGTCATTCTCTGCTTTCAACTTCTCGATCTCACTCTGCAGGGAGCAAGGAGGTGCTGACTCAGGAGATGAATGGAACATGCCTTTTCTGGGGGAAGAACCTAGAAAGGCCCTGAAGGATCCAGGTAGCTAGCCTAGCCAAGACGAGGAATACCCTCAGGGAACTTCCCACCTTTGCTGACAAACAAGGTCTGTCTGGCAGGGCAGGCCGATCCTTTCAGAGAATTGACCTTTAAGAGACATTCCAAAACTTGATTTTCAAGGTCTGCTGCTGGAGTGACCAGTGTAAGAGCCTTGCCATCAGGAACGCTGAGTGACAGATTTCCTAACTGCAGGACTTCTCAGAGCCCTTAAAGAGCTGCTACACTTTGTGAATCTGAGATGGGCATGTGGTGTAGTTCCCAAGCACATCTGATGAAGGAGCTCTTTCAAGGAGCGAGTGTTCCAGGGAACGTTCTTTGGGAGGGCTGCTGTCCAGTGAGGGCCCACTTAGCATACCGCAAAGAACGTAATGCACTCAAAGCAGTGGTGGGAAAGAGCTCCGAAGGCTGGAATGTTGTCACTCCGTGGCAGATGTGGAGTGAGGTGGGGCCAGCAAGAACAAATCTATAGCCACGTTCAAAGGAGGTCACTTCCAGCTGCAGAAGGTGGAGGGGCTTGGGATAAAGGCCAGGCTGAGGCTTGGAGGAGGGGTCCGGTTTGGATGGATAGAGGATACACCCAGGGGAAGGGACATGTGAAATGGGCTGGCAGAGCATGCAGATCCAGCCATCACAGCCCCAGGAGGCCTGTGAGCAGAGCTGGAAAAGCTGGGCTGGGGAAGGCCACGACTGAAAAGGACCTGTAGAAGGCCAGGTTTCGAGGGCCAGCCCACAAAGAAGAGGCTGTGGGCAGCCACGTGAGGTCTAATGCGAAGGGAACATTACTTTTATACTCTGGACTGCGCTGAGCAGTGGAGAGTGACTAGAAAGAGGGCGGGAAAGCAGGGTGGCCTGCGGACCCTCAGTCACCGTCGGGCTGCTGGTCTGTGGCCTCCTGGAGCTCTGTCTACCACCGGCTTCTTGGCACTCACCTGCATCCTGTTCATGGCCTCTCGGAGCTGGTCCAGCTGGTGGGCGGAGCTCAGGGCTTCTAGGCGGATGTCCGTCAGCTTCATCTCCTTATCTCTTAGCTCGTTCCGTAGCTGCATGACTGTCTCAGCTTCACTGTCGATGCACTCGGAAATTCTACGGAAAAGGGGCATTATTGACAAAAGCGGCTGTCGATTGCATCATTCAGCGTCCACTGAGCAGCGGACCAGGCTAACCATCAAGCAGTGCTCAGCACCGATGGGAATAACCCGCTCCTACCGCTTCTTCGAGGGGCTACACCCGAAGCATCAGAAAGAAAAATGATGCTATCTATTGCCTATGCACAGCAGTAGAGACCAGAAAGGCTGTACTGCGGTACCCCCAACACTTCTAACAGGGTAAGCTGCAGTTGGCAGAGGAAAGCAGAGTGCCTTTTTGGGGTTGGGTACTCCCCAGGGAATGAATATATATATATATATATATATACACACACACACACACACACACACACACACACACACACACACTGAGGTCTCATCATGACACCCGATGTATTCTTTGAATTCTCATCCCCGTCAGAGAAGTGAGGTCAAGGTCAAGTCTAGAGAGATCCGTTAGTGTCTCGTGCCCTGCCTGTTCCATAGGTTCACGCTCACAGTACGAAAAGAACAGAGTCTGAGGTGAGATCCAAGAGGACTAAGCGCTGCCTGTGAGTACCACATCACAGCCTTCCCAGCCGCGGTGGGTCCGGGTGACTGAGACGCGAGGTGAGTGAGTGCTACTCAAGGAGCTGGGCTGCTTGCTCCACTAATTCGGGTTATCTTTAGAACTCTTGGCAGATCACTATGAAGTTGGAGACCTTGAAATTCATGATGAATAGGGGTGTTCTGAAGGGACCTCCTTCTATAGAAGAACAGTTCATGAATTCTAAAGGTCATAGGACTGAGTATTGGATGATTCAGGCTAGAATGATTTGACTTCTCAGATCGAAGATGAGTAGAGAAAGAAACAACCAGAAAACAAAAACTCCAAAACTGTTCCAGGTTTCTGGGTCTCAGGAGCTGATGACATCTAGGGTGACAGAGCAGGCAGCCTGGGCAATGGTGGTGATGGCAGCCACTCCCCAAGACTCGGGCACCGGCCTAGGGACCCAGCAAAAACTATACATGTGAAACAGGGTGAGGGGCTGGCAATTTTAACTGCCCACAGAAAACGATTCATAAAACTTTCCAGATGAAAGAACTTGAAAAAAAGCTTAACAGTTGAACGACCAGAACTTTGGGTGCTCTCTTCCTGATCTGAACCTGAACTGTTTTAAAGAAAGGAAAGCTTCTCAAAAGTTTTCAGCAGGCTGGGCACGAGGGCACATCCCTAGACTCAGCACTAGTGGCTGAGGCAGGAGGATCACAAGTTCAAGGACTTCGGGGTGCTGAAGAGATGGCTCAGCAGTTAGGAGCACTGGCTGCTCTTGCAGAGGACCCGGGTTCAGTTCCCAACACCCACACGGCAGCTAATAATCTTCTGTAACTCTAGTTCCAGGGAATCCAACACTCTCTTTTGATCTCCATGGGCATTCCACACATGGGTCTACTTACATACATGCACACAAAACACTCATATACATAAAGTAAACATAAATGACGTATATTTTTTTAAAGCTATCAATTGATGAAGCTTCTTGACTTTATTATCTTCTTGAAAAAATATAAGGACCTCCTTAAGACTCTATTTCTCTACACTGTGGGAAGTCCAAATGTCTTTAGGATTCAGATGACCCCTTTCCCAGCTCTTTGTACTAAGACTGGCCTGCGGTTTGCAAGGTTGAACTACAGAGCCATGGTTCGGGTTTGAGAGGTAGGCAGAGGGAGCTTGTGCAAACTGGTTCTTTGTTGAGAGGACGAGAGTTTCCTGATTTAAACAGAGTGTCACATCTGGATAAAATCCCTGTGTGACATTCCAGTCTTAGCCGAGCTGTGCCTTGCATAGATACAGGAGGCTCTAATTCATGGCTGAGAGCAGTCTGTCCCAGGCCTTGCTGGGAATTCTGGGTCTGCCCCCTGGTTTTGTTTGACCACTCTGCTCCAGGTGATGTCACATAACCTGTACCTACCCCAGAAAGCTCTCTCAGTAACCATCTGTGGATTAGGCAACAGTGGCTACTGTGCAGAGCTTGGCCAATCAGGGAGTCCACAAAGGTGCTAGGGATGGGTATCTGTCCACTTCCAAACCCCTTACCCCAGAAAGCTCTCTCAGTAACCATCTGTGGATTAGGCAACAGTGACTACTGTGTAGAGCTTGGCCAACCAGGGAGTCCACAAAGGTGCTAGGGATGGGTATCTGTCCACTTCCAAACCCCTGCTGAGACTTAATCCCAGAGCAAGCTTTAATGTTGTTTGGAGGAGGGGCCTAAGAAAGGTCACTAGTAAGTATTAGGTGAGGCTGTGTAGAACCCAATGCCTGAACCTGTGGCTTTACAAGAGTAATGAACCTTAGTGAAGCTCTCCACCACGCCACAGCCGAGTAAGAAGATCGTCCAAGGACGCCCAAGCAGGTGTGGAATACGCACCAGAACTGTGACCTAAATAAACTTCTACTCTCCAAACCATCCAATCTGTACTATGCAGTTATAGCAACAGAAAATAGTGCAAGACAAAAGGAAGCAAATTGTCAAGAAGCAACATTGTGCTGGGAGCTTGAATTTCCTCCCAAATCACCATGGTGAGGCCCCATGGGAAGGGATGTCCCCTAGCACGGAAATAGGGCCCAAACCACGTTCTTCCTCATTAGCCTCAATCGAACTTCAGTCATTAGCCCTACAGCCCAAGAGAGAACTTCTTTTCCGTGGGCTCCTTCTTTGATTAGACTGCTTTATGTCACTGAGGCTTTAAGTGCCTTTTCCAGGCTAAGCTCTGCTTGGCTCTGGTCCCTTTAGGATCAGGGCAGTTTTCAGCATCATCACATCAACACATGGTAGGTGCTCAGCAGTATTTTCTGAATCTATGTAGAACAGAGCAAGGCATCGGAAGCACTGTGTGACTCACCTTGCCCAGCACCAGGGTTCTCCACCTCTGAAATGGGGAGACGGGTACAGAGATCACCATGCCCATGGTCACACTATTTAAACACAACAGTTTGGGATAAAAACGGGAGAAAGGAGTTGCTTAGCTGTCGAAACCATGCTCTTGGACTCTACCCAGCAGGCAGCCAGTGCATGCCTTCCTCCTTCACAGACCACAAACTGAAACAACCAGATGTGTGTTTATTCAGCCCCTAGTTCATTCATTATTCCAGCATGTTCTGCTGTCTTGTCCAGCGGTGGGCTGGTGGCATTCCTCATTTTAAATGCCTGGAGTGAGGGAAACATGGCCTTTTCACAGCTGCCGTTCCCTTTGCCCACAAGGTGGGGAACAATCCAAGCTTAACCCCTAGGCTCCAGGCTTTCTTCTTTGAACTCCCTCTCCAATCTACATTTGCACATTCTTACAAACTTTTCAAGGTTGTAAATAAGCGTTTGCCCTCAGCCCACCCTTTGGAAAACTAGACCCAAAACAAACATCTCCAGTGTGGAATGCACAGGAAAAGGGCTGGGAAGCCGAGAGCCTGCCCTGCCCCATCCCTACAGGGCCGTGGCTTGGCAGGAGTGGGATTGCACCTCATCTGAGGCAGCTGTATCGCCACCACTCTGTCTCGTGACATGGCCACCCAGCAGCACATGGCCCAGTTTCTGTTCTCTTGGGTACTCTGCTCTGGGTTTCCTCCTACACCACTGACTGCTAGGCCTTGTCTTCCTGAACTGTGAATGTCAGCTTTCCAGAACTCAGTCCTGACTGCTGTTCATCTCCACACGGCTGAGAATTCCTGCTTCTCCTCAGTGGATACAAGCAGGAACCCGGGGCTTGCCGACACCCCACACGAGCGTCAGTAGCTCACACTTCATGTGGCTGAAGCTGAACTCGTGACACCCTCCCCCCCATCTGCTGTGGTTTGAATGTAAAATGTCCCCACAGGCTCATGTCTTTGAACACTTGGTCCCAGTTGAGGGTGCTGATTGGGAGGTTGTGGGACATTTAGGAGGTGGATCCTCACTGTAGGAAGTGGGTACCTGGGGGGCGGGCCCTTGAGTTTGTAGCCCATCTCCACTATCTGTTCACTCTGTGCTTCTTGGCTATGGATGCACAGGAACCTCGTACACCTGGTGCCGTCCCTTCTCCACCATGAACTGCATCCCCTTTACACTATAAGCCAAAAGAAACCCTTCCTTCCATAATTGCTTCCTGTCAGGTATTTGATCACAACAACAAGAGAAGTAATAAACCCATCACCCACCTCACCCGGGTCTCCCACTAGCCATCCATCCCAATGCAACACGTGTTTGAGAGTCTGTAAAGCAACAGAACACCAACCTCCAGAGAAGGATGAGAGATAACACAAGCCCCAGGAAAGTCTCCATGTCAGATGGTGCCAGGCACCCTGTGAAGCTGAGGAAAGGGGGTGGCTGGTGGTGGGCATTACTTCACACAGCCCAGCCTTAAGGAGCAGGTCTCACAGATAAGCTCATGGGAGCAGAAATCTGAGCAGAGGAGATGGGGAGCATGACCAGCAGGACAAGGTCAAGGAGAGGGCGATGTGGAGTACAGCATTCCTCACTCCTAGAACCCCAAGTCCGTTTACCCCGCCTTTCTTTCTTAACCTTGCCGATGCCTCCTGGTCACTCTGACTTCATTCCGAGCTCAAACCCCTCCGTGTGGCAACCCTGCCTACCTCTCTGGTTTCAGCCCACCACGTTGCCCCTTGGTCACCCCGGAGCAGGCAGGCCATATTGATTCCTCAGTTCACCTCCACATTGGTCTCCTTGTGCTGTTGGTTTCTTGGGAAGCCTATCTCATTCAGTGTGAGGCGGATCTGTGTTCACCAAAGCCCATTTCCTTCTTTGCTTCTTCTCCCGTAAGGGGGTATGGCCCTGGGTCTCAGTCAGCTGACTATAGAAGGAGAGGACATATGCCTCCTCCAGGCCTGACCTATGGAACCTTCTTATAGGACCTGGATCACTCTCCTCTCCTGCCCTGGCTGAACACAGCACTGAGCCGAGGACTCGGTCACTGCAGGATGCTGACAAGGACATTCTAACTGGAGCCAGAAAGGGAGAGTTAAGTGAAGCCACAGAGCTGAGCTTCTGAATTGGGTTGGTCACAGCTGCTAGTGTGTCCAACCAGAACTAACCAGTGGCTCCTCCTGTTACACAGCTCTATGCTGAAATGCCCTCTCTGCGGGGCCTCTCCTGACCACCCCATCTCAAGTGGCTGCACCTCCTTATGTTCATTCTCAGAATGAACTCTTGGAACTAACTGTCTGGCTTTTTTAGGCTTCTCCTATTTCAAGATTCTCTGGTTAATGCTCACCCCATCTCACAGTAGAGAGATCAACCGAGAAGGACCTTCCTTGGTCTGGAACACTGTTGTAACAGAGCTGGGAATGGCACGTGGTAGACTGGAGGCACAGGAGTGAAATGCACTGGGTCATGTCCCTGCAGTCCCTGGTTTCCCTGGGATGTTGTCTTAGTCCCTAAGAACTGTAGGAATGACTTACAATATAGACAGAATCTGGACTAACGACTTCTACTTAACCTTGCACCAAGTATCTACTGCTTATAACAGAAACAAGCTCACTGAGCCAAGTGCTCTTGGGACCTGCACACCTGACCTTGATCCCTTGGGACCCCACTTTGCCCTCCACCCAAGATAGTGAATGAATTAAGTAGCAGTGTGCTTGAATTAACACATCAAAGTTTGGAAGCAGGCGTACTCAGATTCTTTGAAAGCAGTGAGAACCGACAGGTATGATTGATACTGTGTGTATGAGGCATTTTAGGTCTAAGGATCAAAAGGCCAGAGTCTCTTATAAGGGTGGATCCAAACCTGTAGTTCCCCAATTCAGGCTGGAGAAACTGTTTGAGAAAATGTATGGGCGAGGCCCGGCTTGGAAGCACGGTTCTCTGAGAGCTGAAGAAACAAACGCTCTCAGAATTCGGGTCCACTTTTGGCCTTAAATGCTAAGAGGCTGTTTATTTAATCAGGTACGACTGTCATGTGGCATAGCAATGCTGCAAAGCACTCCTGGAACACAGCTCTGTTCACACAGGATGCTACACACAAAGTTCACAACCAGGAAGCAAAAGCAAACCGTGGACTCCTTCCAGTATGATCAGGTAGGGGCTGAGTTAGGATGCTCTGGGGTGGATGGGGAGACCTAGCCTGTCTTTATTTTAAATTTTAAGTTAAGTGTATTTATGTGTCTGTGTGTGGGTGCACATGAGTACAGGTGCCCACAGGGGTCAGAAAGCATTGGATCTAGTAGAGCTGGAGTAACAGGTGATTGTGGGCCACTGTATATAGGTGCTGAGACCTGAACTTGGGTCCTCTGCAAGAGCAGCGTACACTCTTAGGGGCTGAACCATCTTTCCAGCGCTCATGGAATCCAGTCCTGTCTGGTACAGGCAGCCTTTCTCACTGCTGCAGGAAGCCAGCTGTGCCCCATTCTGAGCCGACACAGACATCCCCACCAGCCCACCCCCAAGCTACTTCTACTCTTGACTCTATAGCCCTGTGTTCTTAGGCGAGGCCCAGGACTGCCTCCCTATGCCTAGATGGAGGGGCCGATATCTAGTGGGAGTCAGGAGGGCAGCGCCAGAGCAAATGTCTTATCCCTATGTAAATGGCACCTACAAACCTCAACAGGAGAGAGCCACAAAGCGCTTTGCATTGCATCCCTAGGGGAATGGCTCCTGGAGATGAATCACTTTATGAAATCCAGAGTCCTTTGGTAATGACAACTCTCACAGAATCTCTCCATTCTATCAACTTTCAGTTTTTGAGTTCTAACATCAGAAAAACAAACACCACCAAATTTTAATCAAAGAAGAAATGTATTAGCTAAGTCTTGTCCCTCAAATCAACCAGAATTTCAGCAAAACCTAGCAACACTCATACCAGTACACTTCCCCTTGAAGGTCTCAGCTTTTTTGCATCTGTTTCTCTTATTCTAGCCTTAGAACAGGGTTAGAGGACAAGAGCCATCATCCCCATTGGGAAGCAAAGAGAAGCTACATAACTAGCTGAAGGCAAGGTGTCTGCTAAGTGACACCACCCTAAGGAAACCTAACCTTCCCCAAATACTGGACACACACACAAAGTCCTATTAAAGCAAAGCCCTGGGACGCCCCCACCCCCAACAGGTGTTACCTAACAGAACTGACTCCCAGCCATTCCTACTGGAGAGGGCCCTTAAGGAGCCGAAGGCATCATCTGATAGACAGACTCACAGGGAGTTGGAGTGGGAATTCCGCAGCAGCGGGGTGGAGCCTGTGGACCCGTTGTGTGGCAACTTTGGGGAGGAAGGCAGGGAAGAATCTGTCATCTCCTCGATGTCCGAATGTGAAGATGCTGACTTGGGGGACTTCTTCTTCCCAAAGGCTTGCTTGAAGGAGCTGCGCAACTGAATACACAAGATGGTCAGCCTTGTGGGGTCTGCCCCCACCACCGAGGCCTGAGCTCCACAGAGGCATGCGCACACAAGAGCAGTTCACCGGCCCAAGTTTCCCCAACCAATGGCAAAGGCTCCTAACGGCTCTCTGGAATCAGTGCATTCAGGGAAGGGGAGTTATCTGGTGTTGACAGCTCGGGACAGGCCTGTGGGGGACATTCCATGCCTACTCTTCGTTCCAGAATGGATGCCAACAGCAAGACAGAGCCTGGCTCAGCGGGTGCATGTAGGAAGATGAGTGTACACAGCAACAAAGCAGGGTGCTCGGATGTGGAGACGGATGCGGATGAGGTTAGTCATATCAATGGATGGGTTAGCTAGGTATCTGATATTAGACTTGGTCTTGCTTACCTCGTTGACCTGCCAGAGAAAATGCAAGCAAAAACAGGGAAGGGGAGGAAAAAGACAATTTTTAACAGAGAAAGCCAGTGACAGGGAAAGCTTTGGACTTTTCAGATGCAACATGGCTCATGATAAATGCCATACACAGAGGCTTCTGGTGGGATGTGATCCTTGAACAGCATGGGGAAGAAAGGGGACATCTGCCTCCACTGTGAAAGGAAGGGAAGGGCAGACTGAGGTGTCCCCCAAACTGGGCTTCTGAAAGCTCCTCCTTGTCTGCACTGGCTGTCCAAACTTTCCTGCGTATCTGATCTTTTCCTCGCTTTTCAACCATCTCTTATGCCAGAACAGGGGTTGGGGTGGATGTGTTTTCCTCAGTGGCACTGGCCCCTCTCTGTACAGCTCTTTGTTGCATCTACTTAGGGGTTCCTGCTCTCCTTGCACAGGGAAGACATAAGCACAAAATCCACAGTCTCATTTGTTATTCAGGAAATCCATAGTTGTCTATGGAATTCACGAATCTACTGGCAGAAAGGTTAAAAGGTGTTAGGCCATTTCTCACACTGTGAGATGGGCGTGAAAATCCTGATAAGAACCTGCAGAATGCAACAGTTCTCCAAGGTCGTGATTAGCCTCCATTCTTCTAGGGAAAAAAACTCATATTTTGTTTCCCAGACTGGCAGGTTAAGAAGTCATTTCCTTTTCCTGAAGCCTTTTTTCCTTTCGAAAATATATTGTAGGAGGCCGGGTGTGGTGGTGCACGCCTTTAATCCCAGCACTGGGGAGGCGGAGGCAGGTGGATCTATGTGAGTTCAAGGCCAGCCTGGTCTACATAGTGAGTTCCAGGACAGCTAGGGCTACAGGGAGACCCTGTCTCAAAAAAAGAAAGAAAGAAAGAAAAAAAGAAAAAAAATACATTGTAGGGATTTTCTCTATAGTGAGTCATGAGGCTTTTTGCCAATGGATGTTTCATGTCCGACAAACTGCTCTTCTAGACTGTGGGCACATTTACACCCACTGTGCACCTGCCCCCGCCACCTTCTGCTGGTCCTATTTGAGACAGTAATCATAGGACCAGGGCTTTCCATGCAAGCCAACAGCTAAACCCTCTAGTCAAGTTCCAAAAAAATACATTGTAGGGATTTTTTCTATAGTGAGTCATGAGGCTTTTTGCCAATGGATGTTTCATGTCCTACAAACTGCTCTTCTAGACTGTGGGCACATTTACACCCAGTGTGCACTCGCCCCCGCCACCTTCTGCTGGTCCTATTTGAGACAGTAATCACAGGACCAGGGCTTTCCATGCAAGCCAACAGCTAAACCCTCTAGTCAAGTTCCAGGTGGAAGAGAATATTACTCAGTTTAGACAGAATTAAGCGTGGGGCAAGTGGAGAAGTCCCATTACCTTCCCCGTTGGTTTTATGGAGCACTGTTGAGAAGTAACTTAAACAACCTTCATTTCTTGGCTTACAGAATACAGCCACTGTTTTCTCTTTTGAATTAAATGATATTATTTTTAGTGTGTGTGCATATGCATCTGGGCACACAGATGCTGCGGTACGCATGTGGGAGTCAGAGGACAACTCTATGGGGTCAATTCTCTCCTTCCTTCCATCTTTACATGGGGTCCAGGGATCAAATTCAGCTTGTCTGGCTTGCACAGCAAGTGCCTTTACTGGCTAAACCATTTCACGGGGCCCATATTTTTTCATAGACAATAAGTCTCTAATCACTTTGGGAATCCGACTGTTTATCAACTGCATGTTAGAGTTGGCAACATTAGTTCATCATCTCTAATTATAGCAAACACGTTGCCCAGAAGCTGTTAGTAACTTAAAGAAAAAAAAAAAAATGAGCAAGATAAGAGGAGCACTGGACGCTGGCCTTGCAGTTCACCCCCAGGGTGAGTCACCAGGGACCAGCATCCCGAATCCCCACACCTCTACTGCTCTAGACCTCGCCACCCATCCAAGATGATACAAGATGGGACACAGACGACATGAAGGATGTGACGTCACCATGAGACACAACAGTGTCAGGACTGACTGTGGGGCTCTGTGAGCCTGGCCACCTCAGATCTATCTTGGGTGTACAGCCAAAGCTGCGAAGGCAGGACTGAAACTGGGCAGGACAGGTGGGTGGAGCTTCCTCAGGAGAGCAAACTATCTGCAGCACCACAGGCAGGAAATCCAGGAGCTCCTAGGATTATGGACAGCAAGCTCGGAACCACTGACCCCTAACACTGACAGTGAATAAAGGTGATAAAAAAATTTTCAGTGAAAATGGTTCATACTGTCCTAGGCTGGAGGGATGGCTCAGTGGTTAGGAACACTGGCTTTTCCTTCAGAAGACCAGGGTTTGAATCCCAGCACCCACATGGCAGCTAACAACTGTCTCTAACTCCAGTCCCAGGGGATCCGACAGCCTCTTCTGTCCTCCGCGGGCACTGCTCGACACGGGTACACTTACCTACATGCAGGTAATACATGCATACACATAAAATAAAAATAATAAATAAAATATTTAACACTCAGGTAAGAGCCAGGCGGTGGTGCACACCTCTAATCCTAGCACTTGGGAGGTAAGGCCGAGGATTGCTTAAAAGTAGAGGCTAGCCTGGTCTATATAGGGAGTTTGAGGCCAACCAGGGAGACTCTGCATAAATAAATAAATAGGTAAAGATTATGCTTAGGGATGAGAGGACTACTGATGGGTGTTTTGGAATGAAAAAGAAACTACTCATGAGTGACTCTGCCAAGAGCTTTGCTTAGCTCGGTGGTGGGATACTTGCCCAGAAGTTCCATTCTCAGCACTGGGGAGAAAACAGTAGGAAAGGTTAACTGCTCTAGTGCTCCGTGGCCAACGTAAGATAGGAAAGAAATGACACACAGAAATGAAGGATGGGAACATCACACAGTCTCACGAAACAGAAAAACCACAAGGTGGTGAGGACTTGATCAACGCCAGTGTTTTGCTGAGCACAACATTGTTTTGGTAAAAGTATCCCTAGAGTTCCCTTGGATCTGCTCTCAAAGGCCTGTGGTTGTACAGTCAGGAGGCAGCCCAGGATTTATCTGGGGGATAACGTTTCTGGAACAGACTGTCAGCCAGTCCGAGGGGTGGGGGGGTGCTGAGGAGGAGTGCTCACCCAGTTCTTCCTCTTCTTTTTCTTTGAGTCGCTCTCTATGTTGCTGCCCACGCTCGAGTGGCTGGTGGCACTGTTGATGCTGGAGACGCTGTCAGAGGAGTGCTGCCTCCGGATGCGCAGGTCTGCAGCCTGGGCGCTGCCATTCCCTAAAAGGCAAGGCAGGGCATGTGGGCCCTTGAGCCCGAACACACGGCCCCTGGAATGGCCCTTGAGCCAGCCACCCCTTGGACTCCTGAGCAGTCGTACGGAGACATCACCTCTGTTCCCCACTGCTGCTTTCAAGAGCCTTGAGGTAGGCAAGGGCTATGGTCAGTCACATGGGGTCTACCTCCCTCCACTTTACAAAGCAGAAGCTAGAGAGGGCCGAGGGAGAATTCCCCAGCAGCAGCTCCCTAAGCTGTGACAGGCAGAAAAGGTGTTTCTGAACCACAACAGCATTCCCCTGCACGAGCCGTCTCTGCCTCTTTGACTTGTTTTTAGCCATGCCAGGGATGGTGCCAGGCTTCATGCGTGAGCAGGGGGATCTACCTTTGAGTTGCACCACCAGGTCTGCACCTTTGATTTCCATGTTCTTGCCCCACTAGCCTCCCTCCCAACCCTCCATGTTATCATTTCCACCCTCTGCCTAGAAAGCACTCTTTCCCCAACTCTGTGGCTCTTCCTAACCCTTCCTACCTCAGCTCTGCCACTTTGGAAAGCCAATATCTAAAGATGAGTGATGCCAGAGATGGGAGATTCCTGAAATAATGCTTGCTGCTAGCTCTCCTGGTATGGACAGAACTGAACCCAAGACCTGAGAAGCACCAAGTGTACAGCCAGAAACCCTGAGGTCCCAGGCCTATTTCTGTCTCTGACTAAACTTTGACTTTGAGAAGCTTCTGAGACCCAGGGATATCCCTGACCCAGTGAGCAAAGGGCCAGCAGCATCTTCATGATGTTGTGGAAAGAGAGATGGGAGAGTTAACTGAGGAGAGCACTCAGCACAGTGCTGAGACATGGAGAAAGTGTTGCAGTGCTGTCGGCACTGCACCCAGCACTGGTGCCGACCCTAGTGGTATTGCTGAAACTATCACCTGTGTGCCCACTAACTGAAGACACACAAGACCCACACAACTTATTCAGGAGAGTTTTCTGGGGCAAGTAAGACATGCATTCATTCCACTTTCTCTCCCATAACCATATAAATAGGGAAGCACGAGAGAAGACCATAAACGTTTTGGAGCTCAGATAACAGAAATGTATTCTCTTCTGTTTTTAAGATGTTAGAGAAGGGGGCTGGAGAGATGGCTCAGCGGTTAAGAGCACTAGCTGCTCTTCTCTTGTAGAGGACCCAGGTTTGATTCCCAGTAGCCACATGGCAGATAACAACCATCCATAATTCTGGTCCCAGGAGATCTGACTCCCTCTTCTGGCCTCCACAGGCATTGCATGACATAGGCATACTTATACATGTACAGGCAAAACACACACAGACACAGACAGACACAGACACACAGACAGACACAGACACAGACACACACACACACACAGATTTGTCATAGAAGCAAGCAGGTGAAAGGTGCCTGCCCTTGGGATTTTCCCTCAGGTGGATGTGAGCTGAGTCGCAGTCTCTCATCCTCTACTAGGGAGGCTGTGGCCTGTGCTGGGAGAGCAGCCCGGACGGCAGCAGAGTGTGTGTCTTCCGCTGAGTCTCACCTTTGCAGTTGAGCTCCGGTGTGTTAATCACTCCGTTAATGGCAGCCTGGGCAGCTGCGTTCTGTTTCTTCAGCAGCTCGATAGTTTTTCTTAACTCATTCAGTTCTGAATCCTGAAGATGAGAGAGACAAAATGGGGACTTCCAAAACCAGCTCAAAGGAAGGACAGCGTGCCCTAGACAGAGGAGGGCAGCATGGATGAGCACCACAGACCCACCTCTTACATGGAATGGATCCAAATTCAGAGTAAGGACTTCAGAGAGCACATGAAAAGACTAGAAAGGGACCACGGGATCCACGATAACGCCAGAAACAGTACGTATTGATCTGGACTATATTATGACCCAACAGATTACTCCTAGCATTTAAATTCTACTAATCCAAGAGACAAGTCAACTTTGCAGCATTCTCTGAAACAAAAGGTGGTGCTTTTACACTGGCTGCTGACCCACCAGAGAGGGAACGGCGATCCCCCAGCCTACCTTCTGCTCCGCCGTCATGGTCAAGCTCTGAAGCCTGATGGTCATGTTCCCGAGACTTTGTTCAAAGGCTGCCACGAGGTGAGCCTGGAGGGGGAAGAGGCCTTGGTGAGGCAGGAGTGCCTGGGGGTGGGGGTGGGGGGATGTGGGTCCTCGGTGAGGCAGGAGTGCCTGGGAGTGGCTGGGTCCTCCAGAGGAAAACTCTTATGAGAGCCTCCTCACGTGCCCACCTTCAGTCTCATCCAACCTCGAGCTCTGGGACCATGTGCTCTAGTCTTTCCCTTGCTCAGATGCCCTGTGTTCCTTTCCAGAGCATCCTTCCTCCTTCCTGGAACATTTCCCCTATTCTGCCTTGCTAATTTTCACCTGTCTACCAGCAACTCTCAGCTCGTGCTTGGTGATACCCTTGAAATGGGTCCGTTTCCTTGAATTCATTCTCACAAGCCCATCATCCTCAATACGTGGTGAGAGCGAGGTTGGAAACACTGCTGGCTTCCACCCATCTCCACAGCACGTTGCGGGATGACCTTTTGTTTAAGTGCCAAGCCCACAGCAGAGGCTCATGGGAAACACATATGTAGAATGAGTGAACAAAGTGGCTGGCATATTTTGCTTGTTATTATCCTTGTTAATAAAAAGCCACTGAAAGGGCCATCTGCTACCTCCTCGGAGAAACCTTTCCCAGTTCCCCCAGGGAGATACTTTCCCCGAGGCTGCTGTGCGCTTTGATACACTCCTGTCAGAACAAACATCAGATGCAACATCTTATATGCTGCCAGGAAAAAGTTTCAAAAGTGGTCAATTATAATTAGAAATATGTAACCAGTTTTCAGAAGTTATAACATAACAATCTAAAACAACGCATAGCTTAGAATTGAGAAATGCGGTGTTTCTCTGCAGTTCTAAGGTCAGGGTCACATGGCAACTGTGTGCTAACACTAAGCCTGCCTGGTCCACAGAGCAGTGAATACATAATATGTCTATTGGTTGACTGGGGATTCAGGAAGTCATTAAAACAAAGAATAAAGATTAGATATGGGGGACTGGAGAGATGACTGCTCTTACAGAGGACCTGAGTTCAATTTTCAGCCCCCACATGGTGGTTAACAACCATCCACAACTCCAGTTCCAGGAGATCCAATACCCTCTTCTGACTTCCTCGGGCACTGCACAGCAGAAGTCCATTTATACATATGTAGACAATATATTCATACACATAAAATAAAAGTAAATAAATATTTTTAAAAAGAATAGACATGGGCCAGTGAGACAGCTCAGAGGGTAAAGGTGCTTGCCGCCAACCCTGACAACCTGAATTTCATCTCTGGGGCCCACATGGAAGGAAAGAACTGATTCCTGAAAGTTGTCCTTTGACTTCCTTCCACACATGCGTTTTTCCCATACATGGACATAATAACAAATAAATATATTAAAAAATTAGAGATGCTCTTTTTAAATATTTTTTATTATTTTTATTTTATGTGTATGAGTGTATTGTCTGCATGTAAGTAGGTGCACCTGTGTCATGCAATGTCACAGAGGTCAGAAGATGGCTTTGGATTCCCCTGGAACTGAGTTAAGGACCGTTCACAGCCACCATGTGGGTGTTGGGAACCAGACCCAGGTCCTCTGCAAGGGTAGTTAGTACTCTTAACCGCTGAGCCATCTCTCCAGCCCCTAGAGATGCTCTTTTAAAGGGTCACGGTCATCATACTAAAAATTGTTAGCCAGCCAGGAACATCTAATCTCAAACTGTTTTATAAATGGAACAGTGGCAGATTATAAAGTTGTAGGGAGTTGGGCAGTAAATGAGATGGACCTTCCTACTGGATGCTTGATAAAGGTTGATCCATGTCTGTCTGACTCTACTCTGGGACCCCCACTCCACAAGCACCCACTTGATCAGTGTGTTTGATGAGCGAGTGAAGGACTGAAAGCAAGCACGTAGATGAAGAGGATGCTGGGACACAGGAGGACGGCAGGAGTTAAAAGTCTTTACTTTCTTCTTCAGTGTTTTTAATTACCCACAATGCTCAGTGGGTCAATCCCTCTGGTCTCAGTTTTCTCATCTCTCAAAGGGGTATACAGTACCTGCTTTATTCCTAGGGCTCTTATGAGCACTCAGTGAAATGAGACAGGAGAAAGCAGTCTACAAACGGTGCAGGTGCAAAGCACAGGAAGGAGCGCACACAGGTGGAATGGGGAGGAATCGGCAGAGGGGCTGGGGCACAGCCTGGGAAGAAGTGAGACTAAACCATGCTGTAAAATTCTAGAGGAGAAGGTGACCAGAGCCCACAGGGAAGGTTAAGGTGGGAAAATGGGGTGGATGGGCTGCAATTAATGTGAGGGCTTGTTGAAGCTAAGACAGGACATGAGGCTAGGACCAAGTGCTGACAGGGAGCCGAGCCTCTGTGATGGCAAGATAACATAGACAATTTCTTCCTATGTCCCTCTGTATGTTCAAGATGGAAAAAAATGTCTTTTTGAAAAGACACTTTCATTGGCCTTCAACACAACAAAATCAAAGCCAACAGATCATCAACTCATCAATTTTTTTCTTTTCTTTTTCGGAACAGGGTCTCGCACTGCTGCCCAGGCTGGCCACAAGCTGGCAGTGATCTACCTGCCTGTCTCTGGAGTGTTGGGATTACAGGTGTGAGTTATCACACCCACTAAAGCCCATCAACTCAAGACAATCACACTGTGGACAGAGGAAACAGTGAGGTCAGGGATGTCTGAAAGAAAGCCTGCCATCTTTGCCCTGCAGAAGAAGGCGAGGTTAAATGAAATGACCGAATTGTCCTCAATTTCGATTCTGTACCCGACAAGTCACCCATGATTCCAGTGTGAACGCCTGTCCTTTCTGCTCAGTTTAAAACCCTGACCCCTCCAACACTGCTACTTACTTAAAATGCCAAAGTATTTTTTGCAAGCTCAGAAAGCAACCGCATTAGCTCTGGAGGGTCAGGGATCGCATTCTACTGGCAAGAGCACGGGCTGCTTGTGTGTCCTGAGCACAGCTATTAAAACATGGGGGGGCTGGGGGCTAGCCGGGGCCACACAACAGCCTTCCCGCCAAGCAGCATTCTCACAGTCCCAGGAAAACAAACACCAGAGCCAGCGGCTCTGAGTAGTCAGTCCCAGGAAAACAAACACAGCTTGCTCTGCGAAAAAAGATGGCAGACGATAAAGCACGTTTGCACTGCGGTGGAGTGTGGTGAGACTCAATATTTACTTTAAAACAATACCGGACTCAGTGACTTTTATGAGGTGCAACTCACACTTCTGGAATAATACAAGGGAGCTGATTCTGACCCTTCATGGACAGGGTAGGGCTCCTGTGGCAGGAGAGGTGGCTGGGAATTAACCTGAGATTACTGATAACTAAACTGACTAGCACTTGTTGATTAGCCAAGGGCAGCAATTGACAGCTGTCATTCATTATCACTCAGATTAACAGGGTCACTGTCCACCCTTCTGGTTGTGTACTGGTTCTGGATTTGAATGGAGGATCTACTCGGGGTACTCCTGCAAATTTTTGAGTAGGATCCAAGCCGTAGAATTCAGTTTTCATACATTGGTTTCTGGTGATTTTTAAAATTTTATTTATTTCAGCTGGGTGTGGTGGCACACGCCTTTAATCCCAGCACTCGGGAGGTGGAGACAGAGGCAGGAGGATCTCTGTGAGTTCAAGGCCAGGCTGGTCTACGAGTTCCAGGTCAGCTGGGGCTACAGGGAGACCCTGCTTCAAAAAGAAAAAAAAAAAAAAAAAAAAACTGAATGCTCCAGGGGGATCTCTGTCAGTCAGAGGCCAGCATGATCTACGTAGCAAGTTCCAGGTCAGCCAGTGCTACATAGACTCTGTCTTAAAAAAAATTAAGTCATGCCAGGTGTAGTTGTGCACACCTTTAATCCCAGCACTCAGCACTCGGGTGGCAGAGGCAGATGGATCTCTGTGAGTTCAAGGCCAGCCTGGTCTACATAGTGAGTTCCAGGACTGGGGCTACAGGGAGAACCTGTCTCAAAAAGACCAAAGAAATTTATTATTTATTTATTTATTTATTATTTAATTTATATGTGTGTGTTTGGGTGCCTGCAAAGGCCAGAAGAGTTGAATCCCCGGGATCTGGAGTTGTAGGCAGTCATGAGCTGCCTGATGTGGGTGCTGGGAACTGAACCTGAGTCCCCTTCAAGAGCAGCCAGTGCTCTTAAGCGCTGAGTCATCTCTCCAGCTCCCCCTCTGATGATCTTTTGATAGCAATACCATGGCAGAGGAGAAGTAAAAAAGGATGGCAAGGTACACAGTGGCCTACTGTGTTGAGGTTACGGATATCAGAGGTCTTCAGAACGTATGCGAGCTGGGGAGACCAAGTGGTGGCACAGGCGGCAACATTTACTGAGCTTATGATTAAGGGCAAGCCGGTGCTCAGTGCTTCATGAGCAGACTTTAAAGAGCCATACTTCCTGGCGTGGTTCATGCTCAGGAAGGAATTAGCAGGGTGAATTCTCCAGGTAAATGATGGCTTTGGAGCTCTGACTCACTCTCCTGGTCAAAGGCAGGCAGCCTTTGAAGTGGCTTCCCTTGTTAGTGCGCCTTAGAGTGGGTCACCCAGCATGCTGCTCAGCAGGCTCTGGTGCACTGATCTGTGCTGCTGTAAGGCTGGGCTCTGAACGCCTGGGCCAAGAAGCCTGGCCTCATAGTCATCGGGCACCTCCCAAAACCTCAGCCTTTGCCTTCTGAGCCTCGGTCTCTCAGGGTCACTGCTCCACAGTGGGGCTCCCCTGTGGATCTCCCAGACGGAGTGGAAGATCGTTTTCTCTGTCCACTTTTCTGGTGCTATATTTACACTACTTGGGCACTTTCCAAACAGCAAGCTTGACCCTCACTGACGGGATTCTCCTAAGGTTCAGAACTCCCGTATTAGCATCAGAGCCACTCATCCTTCCTTTGTGTTTCCTCAATACCATCTCTCTCCCCACCTTCACCCCCCTCCTAGCTGCAGGTTTTAATCAGACCTTGGACTTTGCACCAACTGTTCATTTTGGTATGATGCTGCCCACTCTGTGCACCCTTCTACAGGACATCCATCTGATGTAACCTCCTCTGGGAAGTCCTTCCTGGCTCCCTCCAAGTTGCCACCAAGACAGAGCTTGGCACTCCATTTTGCAAGGCCAGGCGTCTCCCCCCATATGACAGTGGCCATGTTCTAGAGGACTGTTCTGCCTCTTTGCTGGTCCAGAGTTGGTAGAAGAGGACAGTGACTCTCCTGTGCTATTGGACTCGCAGCCCAGCATCTCTGGCACTGGAGACAGTGGCTGCCCAGAATGCAGGCTGGCCGTGCTGGGCATGTTACCATGCTGGCCGTCACCGTGCCTGCTGTAATTACAGAGCACTGGGTATCTATTGGGGAGCCCCAGATTCCTTCCTTTCCCTGCTTTCCTCTGGGCCCCCCTCCACCTTAAGATCAAAATCTTCAGAGAAGGAAAGGGAAAGAAGTGAACACTTATATTATCACAAGCTCTCAACACCTCATAACACAGAGACAGAGATCACGCTCAGATGTTGAAGAACTCACTCCAAGTAACACAGCCAGTACCACAGTGGACATTCACATCCATGGGGCTAAAGCCTGTGTCCTTTTGATCCATGGAGATGCAGGGCCTTGAGGTGATGCTCAGAAGGCAGACAGTGTCTCCTGTCCTGCCCCAGCTTCTACCCTGTCCCCAGCACCCACTCTGTTCCATCCCTGGCTCCCACCCTGCTCTTTGTCTCCCACCCTATCCTGTTCGACCCCAGCTGCCACCTGCCCCTGTCCCACCTCTGGCTCCCTCCCTGTGTGTCTGCACTCACATTTGCAGTCAGCTGGGTGGTCAGTGCCGATACCTTCTCCTGGGAAGCATCCAGCTCGCGTCGCAGCTTGCGAATCTACAGACAGACACAGGGTTACCTGCTTGGGGTCCATTTCCAGACAGTTGGATGAAATAAACATTAATAGTGAAAGAGGAGATCCAGCCACAAACCATTCCTTACCTCAGACTGGCATTTTTCTTCTGGCTGTAAATAAATCATAAGGGAAATTAGACCAGTGAAGGAACAAACAACAGTATAGCCTGGCCAATGGGACCACAAATTTGGGAACTTGGGAAAATCTGGAAGTTTGATTACTTTCTTTTCTGATATAATTCTCTAAATTGTTTCATTCAAATCAACCCATTGGAAGGGATAGTATTATAATACTATCAACAATATACATACATACAACAGGATAGTATTTTAATAAATTAGGAAGAATTAGACTAACATTCCAACTGTTTGGGTTATGACGAGTCACAGGCCTTCCCGTAGACATGTGGTGTAGAAGGTGCTCAGGAGATGGTGTGATGGGCAGGGCCTGGCCCAGAGTCAGTGAAAATACAGGGTGCCCTATTCAAGTTACATCCATTTTTTAAAATTATGGTTACTTTATTTATTCATTTGTTTGTGTGTATGTGTGTGTTTGCACACCCATGGCACAGTACATGTATGGTCAGAGGACAACCTGCAGGAATTGGTCTCTACCCTCTGCCACGTGGGTCCCAGGACCGACTGAACTCAGGTTGTTACACTTGAAGGCAAGTGCCTTTACCCACTGAGCCATCTTGCTATCTACTGTATACTGTATACTGATTTAAGTCTGGGTATGTCACAAGAAATACGGGAGACGATATTTTTCTTTTTCCATTTTCTCCCCGCGCCCCCCCCCCCAGACCAAGTGCATACTAGACAACAACTCTATGAATAACCCACCCCCTCACCCCTTGGAGACATACGACACTAATGTGCTGTTGAGCTGAGTCTCAAATTTAATTAGGTGCTCTGTATTTTATCTGGAGATAAGTAGGGGCAAGGACTGCTCCTAGGTTAGTTCTACCCCACTTACCCCTTCTTCTCACTCCCTAGGGCATAAAAGTAGGGACAGAGCGAGGCAGAGAGGACTCAGAGTGAAGGGGGTTCTTCTGGTGAGGGGGACAGTGAAGAAGAACTTAAGTTTCAGGGAGTTCTCTTAGTGAGGGGAACCTCAAAGTGAGGAGGACCTCAAACTGGGGAGGCTGGGAGCCCCTGTCCAGCCAGCCTGGGAACTCCACAGGTTGAGAAGAGACTTTACAGTCTTGGCCCTGCCTGCCACTGGGCCCACCTGTCTCTGGGCTTTGTATACCCTTACTAAATGCTGCTGTTCTGCACACAGTGGAATCCCATGGGTCTCTGTGGCCCTCCATCTACCCAGTAGTACCCTGGGAATGAACTGCTTCACCAATCATGAGAGCAGTCTGATGCCCAACGTAGTCTCAACGATTTCTCCTCACCAAGGGCTGGCCATGAGTGCCCCATGGTAATTATTTGGCATCATGTTGCCTTTTCCTTCATTTGTAATTAAATTACACCAAATCTCTGGTAGGATGCACATTCTCAAATATCTGAGAATTAGAGATTTCAAGAGAAGGACCTGCTGTCCTCTAACTAGAACCTGTAAACTTTGCTACTAATGGGCTCTTGGATCTAAGCCTGTGGCAACTTCGGAGACCCCCCCAAAGATCTCAGACAGCAAATAAGACCAGGCCCACCTTAGCATTAACCAAGGCTCCCGGGTGCCATGTCCACATTTCACCAAGGTTTAACAATAGATGAGGGAACAGACACCACAGTCAGATGCGACCATTCTCGCAGTTTTGCTTGGAACTGGTAGACGGTCTTGCATGAAAGCATTAAATGTCAAAAATGCTTTTCCTGAACTGGAAAATCACACATAAAGGTAGTAAAAAGGGACTTATGACTAACTAATGGAAGGTCAGAGAGCCCACAAAATCACCTTGTTCAACTTCATGCCATGAAGGTACAACTGATTCAGTGAATAACCAGGTGTGTGCCCAAAGTCGAGGTGCGACTAAGCCAAGATTAGACCTCAGACGGGCATCCTTCCATCCAAATACAATTAAAAATTGGTATTAGGGGCTGGGAAGATGCCTGAAATAAAGGCATTTGCTGCCAAGTCTGACGACCTGAGTTTGATCCCTGGAACCACATGGTGGAGGCACAGAACTAGCTCCTACAAGTTGTCCTCTAACCTCCACACATGCTCTGTGGCACGCGCATGCCTACACACTTACATATATACACACAAAATGTAAGAAACAAAACAAAACAACAACCTGGTATTAGGTCTCTGATAATTTGTTGAACATCAACTGGTATCACGAAAATACCAGTTTCATGCAACACACCCCATCCCGATCAGCAGTCACCTGCTGTGAGAGCTCTTAGCTATGGCTCTCACCAAAGGGCTCCCAGGAACTGCAAGTGATGGTTTCCTAGACCTGTAAGGGATGGTTTCCTAGGCTGGGGGCATTTCACTCTCTGAATTGACAGCAGCCCCTGGATGCTCCAGGACAGAGTGACACCACCACATCTGCTTTGCCTAGCTCTGGGAAGCCAGAGGCCATGTCCCCAGGTGTCCCTGCCCTGTCTTCCTCTGTCAGCTGTGGGATCCTTTCCCTTCGAATCCACATCCTTGGGGAAAGCGTCAGAGCTTGGCATGTGCGATGTCAATACATGGTGCTGAAGAAGTGAATGAAGGTGTGAAGATACCAGAGCTTTCTTCTAGAAGGAAGAGCTCAGCCTATCCACTGGCTGGTGGCCGGAGGACCTCTCTATGCTCTCCAGCAGAAAATGTCATAAACAACACTTCCCAAGGGAATACACACATAGTTTATCCTACACAGCCCAGACTCCTGCCAGTATCAAATCTTCTATTTTTAAAACACTATTTCCCTGGAATTAAGAGCTAAAGAATTAACAAAGTGATTTTTTTCCCCCTTTGTAGGAATTTCCAAATTAGTATTCTCAAAATAACATATAGCCATAACACATATTATGGCACAACTCCAGCAGCACAAAAGTTCAAAATGTACTTGCTTATCCCTGGCTCTGCTGACAGTCCCTCACTGAGGACAACAGTCAGGACGAACTGTGCAGTGTGCTTACTGCATCTCAAACCTGCCTTTAATCAATTTCATTTTATTAGTCAGGGTCTTATGCACCACAGCCCGGCTCTGAAGTCACCACGTATGTAACTCCTGCTGTACTTCCAGGTACCGAGAGCACAAACGTGCCGGCCACCCTTCCCCCACTTTGTGCTGTGTTGGCAATTGAATCTAGAGCCTCATGAGTGCTGGCTACATCCATGGCTCTTCAAGCCTGCTTTCTGAGGACCATTATGTGCTAGGCACTGGCCCTGGACTAGGAGTGAAAACAGACTCCTTGTCCTCCAGGAGCCTACGTTGTAGTGAAAGTTCTCTTCAGAACATCCAATCCTGTTACTATTCTCAATGCTGTTCCTTCTACTCTACAGAAAAAAGAGAGCCAGGCAGAGGACTTATAAACTACTTGGGGTGTGGTGTGTGTGTAATGTGTGTGTGGTGTATTCATGTGTGTTTGTGTATATGCACATGCAGGGGATGTGCACACACGTGTGTTCATGTATATGCACATGCGGGGGATGTGCATGCACACGCGTTCATATATATGCACATGTGGGGATGTGCACGCAGTGTGCTCATGTATGTGCACATGTGGGGGACGTGCATGCACGTGTGTTCATGTATGTGCACATGTGGGGATGTGCACGCACATGTGTGTTCATGCATGTGAAGGCCGGTCGTGGAGGCTGGGTGTCTTGCTTTGTTCTCCATCTTACTTTTTGACACAGGGTCTCTTACTGATACTGGAGTTCACCAATTTGGCTAGAACAGCTAGCCAACGAGCTTCAGGAATCCACCTAGCTCTGCCCTTCAGCACTCGGGTTACAGGTGCTGGGGATCCGAATTCATGATGGTACCAGTACTTTACCCTCTGAGACATTCCTACAGCCCCAGTGGGGGATGTGGTAATTAATAGCTGTTTGTGAATTTCAAATCTTTTTCTCCAGGGCCTTGGTCCCCTTCTAACAGGAATGGTCTCTCCAGATGTTTATTTTCCTCTTGACATACTTGATGAAGAAGGTGGGCGCTGGTGAGCACAGCCACAAAGCGTCGACTTACACTCACCGTGGAGTAGATGGATGATGTACTGGAGACCAAGGAGAGTGAGGATCCATGAACTGTTGGAAGCAAAAAAACCGAGGTCAAGGGCATAGCCTGTTGCCACAAGGGAGAAGAGAGCAGGGAGGCAGAGGTCAGAGACTCAGGACACTGCTGGCTCAGGCTGGCTGATACTACCTTGACCCAACACTTCCTGGGTTGGAGACAAGCCAGCACCAGATATGAAGTAATTTGCTAATGAAGCTATTTCTGTAGCACCACATTTTCTGAACTAGCAAAGTAACACATGATTCCAGAATCATCATATTTGAGTAACAAGGGTTCATATCTCCAAAGGTTCAAGCACAGATCGGTGTTGGAGTGTATTCCTGCTGTAGCCTGTCGGGACTCGCACTGCCTGGAGGCCACCTGTGCCGTTCCAGAGAATCACACCCACTCTTTCTCCAAGGCCCTCCCCTCCGGTTGCATGGTACGTCTGTTCATTTCAGTAGACTCTGCTTCTTGGAGATGCAAAATAATGAGATGATCATTTTGAATCTAAGAACCTTTTGGCCGCAATCAACTCATGTAATAGAGCCTTTCTATCATGTCTACACAGTGACAGGTGTTCTCTTTCCTGCTGTACCAGTGGACTTTGACTCTGAACCTCAGTCGTTACCCTGAGCGCCTCTTCCCATCTCTAGGTGATCACTGCCAGCTTGCACTTTAGGATGCTCCTTCCCAGGACTGGTAGCCAGGCTGCCTTCTCTTTGGGAACCTGCTTCTTACTTTCTTGGCAACCTTTTGACAACTTGTTTGAGAGACAGAACTAGTCCTACACCCAGACGTGGCAGGCCTTTTTAACTGGGTACAGCTTTCCTGACCACAGGCGGAAAGCAGTCTGCCCACGCAGTCCACCCACATGGGAGCGCAGCCCGAAGCCAAGGCAGAGTCCGGGAGCACACCTTTCCACACACGCTGCACTGACCTCACCTACCACCCCAGCACTGTGCTCAATGCCACTTAGCAGCCGGTAGAAGCAGCCTGCCAGCAAGATAACCAACTAGTTCTGCCCACACTCAGGAGTCTGCTGTGCCGTTTCCCACAGACCACCCCGGACGCCCAAGCTTCCCTTTTCCCACATGCACCAATCACACCCTTCCTTCCTGGGTAAGCCCCGGTTCCTATTTTCCCTCCTTAGAGTCTCTGCCTATGCAGTTGTCTACGACACCTCGGAGCACTACCTGCCCGAATCCAGAGCAGCCCAAGAGCAACTTACCCAGGATTCTTCCCTCATCTTCTGTGACCACAGCCCTCTGCTTTGCATCCCGGCAGCTCCCCCGATCGATCAGTGCCTGTGTCCCCTGCATTCATAGTCACACTTCGTGGTAACTCGGGGTTCTAGGCCTCCTCCCTAGTCCTTCCAACAAACGTGACCAAGCTGATTCGTGCCCCATAAAAAGCATCTCAAGGCATTAATGGCCAATAATGGCTTTCTTTCTTTCTTTCTTTCACTAACATGCCCACACATTCAGAGAGCCCTCTCTAGCCTAAGGCACCTCTTTCTGCCTCACATGAATGATGGCCAAAGGGCAAAGCACCCTGGAGGCTGGGCCAGAGGCCAGCTCAGAGGCCTGCACTGGCTGCCAGCCCTGGCTGCTGTCTAGCTCTGATTCTCCTACCTCATACACATCAGCTTCCCAGTAGTCTGGATCAGCGTGGGGACTCAGAGAGAGGGGGCACATCTGGCAGGCTTCAAGTAGAGCTCATTACTTTTTTCTGTAATTAACCCCTCTCACTTGGTAAACAGCAACAGCAAAGCTTTGGTCTAAAGAAACAGCCACCTTGACTTCCTGAACCCACACAAACCTGAATGTGGCTTGCCTGAACCCATGTGGTTGGCCAACCTTCAAGAGAACTGAGCCAGGTCAGAGCCTGGGGGAAGGGCATGGAGCTCCTGGACCATGACTGCTTTAGCCCCAAACCCACCAAAACATGCGTGTACTTCTCGCCACACCTCCAAAAGTCTACAGGTGGAGTCACAGAGAAGGTCTAAAAGCAGAGTTGACTTAAGGCCACATAGCAATTCAAGCACAGGATCTGCTGACCAGAAGTCTGAACACAACTCTGCTCTTGCTGGGCTCTGTTGTGAGCTGATGAGATGGCTCAGAGGGTAAAGGAAGGCATGTGCTACTTAGTGTTTTGTTGACTTGACACAAACTAGGGTCACACGGGAGGAGAGAACCTCTTTCGAGGAACTGCCTCGGTCAGACTGGCTTGTGCACATGTCTGTGGGGCATTTTCTCCATCGTTAATTGATGTGGGAGGGCTGAGCCCACTGTGGGTGGTGCCACCCTTGGGCAGGTGGGCCTGGGCTATAAAGAAAGGGAGCTGAGCAAGCCAGGGGAAGCAAGCCAGTACACAGTGCTCCTCAGTGCTCTCTGATTCCGTTCCTGCCGTGGCTTCCCTTGAGGATGGACTGTACTGTAAGCTTTAAGATGATATAAACTCTTTTCCCTCCAAGTTGCTTTTTGGTCATGGTGTTTTTCACAGCAACAGAAAGTAAACTAATGCAAGGGGCTGGCTGCCAAGCATGACGACCTGGGTTCATTCCCCAGCACCTTCATGGTGGAAGGAAAGAACTGGCCTGTGACATTGATCCTCTGACTTCACATGCATGCCGTGGCATGTATGCATGTGTGCACCCATATACATACACACACCATGAACAAATGTAATTTAAAAATTAAAATTAAAAAGAAATTTTTGATGTGCTATGGAGGGCTTTCCTAATCCTGTTCTGTAACCTACCCACAGGCACACAAGCAGGGAGGTTGCCGGAGAAAGATGCTGCTGTAGGCGGGGTAGAAGTCCCTGACAGATGGGAGAGGGTAGCACACAGCAGAGGCGGGCCTGTACCCCTGACACCACGTGTGAGCATCTCACACTTAACCCACACACATCTGTTCCCTAACTGAAGCGGGCTCTCATTCCGCCTACTGCCTGGAGTGATCCTCATCTCAGAGACCTGGAGGTAACAATCCAGACATGCAGGAGTGCCTGCCCCATTAACAAACAAGTGGATTAGGGTCCATAGCGGCCAAGTGACTGGGCCAAGCACACACAGCTCTTGGCCCTGAGAACGGCCTCTCACTGCTGCTGCACACCCACTGTGGATGGTGCCAGGGAGAGTAACGGAGAGGACGGCCCTGGCTCGCAGCCACCAAGGAAATCAAACAAAGCACCTCAAGCAGGCAAAATAAAAGAAGCTGGGGGAACTAACGGCAAGGTAGGACTGGGTAAGAGGAGGCCGGAGACCCTGTTCTGGTTGAAAGTCACTCCTGCACCCATGTTATGCAGTGCCCACAGAGGTCAGAAGAGGACGTCAGATCCCCTGGAACTGGAGTTACAGACGGTTGTTAGCCGCCATGTGGGTGCTGGGAATTGAGCCCATGTCCTCTGCAAGAGCAGCCAGTGCTCTTAACTGCTGAGCCATCTCTCCAGCCCCAGAGGCAACATTTCTAACAATAGCTCCCACTGGCTGAGGATCTACAAAAAGTCCCTTTCAGAGTCAATTTACTAAGTGTGTTTCCGCATTTACCTCCTCCCCTACACCTGAGGGCCTGAAGCAGGTACCATTCCTTCTCAGATATTAGAGAACAGGAAAGCCTATCGGGGTCAAGTCTTTCCCCAAAGATAACTGCTAACTTAGAGGTGCCAGGACTTGATGACAACTGGACCACAGGCTAGGACGCAAGTTGCAAGCACTGGCTCTTGCCCATGGGTCTGGCAGCGGCTAGGTCAGGGTTCCTGTGTGGCATGTTGTACTTACTGCCTCTTGGTGCTCTCTAGTAAAATCATGAGTGTTGTTTTTTCTTCTAACAACATCTACTCTAAAGATTTATGTTTATTTTTCATTATGTATCTGCATGTGTGTCTGTGTGTGGATATGTACATGTGAATGCAGGTACCCGTAGAGGCCAGAAGAGGGTGTCAGATCCCCTAGATCTGCAGCTACAGACAGTTGTGAGTCACCTGACTTGGGTGCTGGGACTCAAACTCAGGTAGTCTGCAAGACCAGCAAGCCCTCTTAACCACTGAGCCATCTCTCCAGCCATGACATCCATTTTAAAGACACCTCCAGCATCTAAGTATACATATTAAAGCTGACTTTGAATCTGCATCATGCCTCTGATGGTAATTTACTTGAACTATGTCAAAAGGTTGCACCAGGGCCATGAACACCTAATCTACACACTTCTGATTCACACCTCAGGAATGCAAAGTTGGGGGCTGGAGAGATGGCTCACTGACTGTTCTTGCAGAAGACCTGGGTTCAAATTCCAGCACCCACATGGTGGCTAACATCCACCTATAACCCCAGTTCTAGGGTATCCAACACTCTCTTCTGTTCTTCTTGAGTATTGCATGACATGGGTGCACTTACATACATGCAGGCAAAACACTCATACACATAAAATAAAAATAAATAAAATTTTAAAAGGGGCTGGAGAGATGGCTCAGCAGTTAAGAGCACTAGCTGCTCTTCCAGAGGACCTGGGTTTGATTTCCAGCCCCCACATGGCGGCTAACAGCCATCTGTAATTCCAGTTCTGGGGATCTGATGCCCTCTTTTGATCCTTCTGGGCATTACACAGCATGGGCGCACTTACCCACATTCAGGCAATATACTCAAGACACAGAAAATAAAGTTAATAAATAAAATATATAAAAAGACTCCAAAGTACTCGTTAAAAATTGTACAATCTCACAAACACTTGTGCTAATGTTCCCTGAAGTTCCATCTTGCTTCATGGCACAGAATAACCTGTCTGATACCAGGAGGTTCTATTTGATCGGGTCTGAGATCCAACAGATTTTCCCCCTAGTTAATCCCATAATACTGGCAATTTATTAATTCAAAAGGAAAAAAAGTCTATACTCAAAGGAATTAAAGACCTTTAACTACACCAATCTGATGCTGTCGTTCCTGAAGATGAAGTCCCCACACCTTCGTGGCCCATGACATGAATCTTCTCCCACAAAGTTCTGACCTCACCTTCACCCTTCAGTTCCCTGCCATCATGAATCACTGGGTCACGAAAGTTGAGGCGCTGCTGATGGTTAAGCACTTTTTATTTGTGTCATTTGATGGCCCAGATATTTTGCAATTGTGCTATATGTCAGCCTGATTCCAGATGGACTACTGCCTACAAGCTGGCTGAGGGCGAGTCTGTAATGGTCCCTATTCTTTCTTTGTGAGGTATTCTTTGTGAGGTCATGTGCACTTGTCAGGACAAGGCTTGGTGCTCCTCCCTCAGGCACACACGACAGGGTGAGGACAGCACAGGACACACTCCTTCTAGGAGTCGTCCTCAGCAACAGTGGGAGGCACTCTGGGGTGATACCTGACCAGCCACGGACTAGGAAGAAAGCTCAGCACGCACTGTCTCCTCATTGCCTTCAGGTCGGCACATGTCCCACTGTGCTGCTCAGAGTTGTTACAGCGTCAATTTCTAGCTCTTAAATCTAGCAAAAGCCCCTTGTCACTCGGGCTCCTCCCCTCAATCCTCCTGCCCAGTGGTTGCCTTATATGGGTTTACAGGCTTACTCTGATCGCTAATGTCACTGAAGGCATAAATCTGGGGAGAGCCCTAAGTCACCAACATTAGTCAGGAAGCAACTGGTCTATCACTAAAGCCTTTAAAACTCTCCTTAAAAACCACAGTGGGCAGCTGAAGGCTACATATTGTTCTTCTTTCCTTCTGACTTGAGATTTCCTATTGGGAGTCTTATCCCCCAGGACTGGGAGCCAAGGGGAGCATCTAGGACTCACCCCTACAGTCTGTCCTGTCACTGAAAGAAAGGCACAGAGAGAGACAGGGTTCCCCTCCTGCGCTCCACCACCCCAGAGTCCTCCCCATGGCTTAGAGCCTCCAGGAAGCCAATGGGACGGCATGTCTACAGGCTATGACACGCCGTAGCATTCCTGTGCTAACGTTTATGTGTATTATTTCAAACTTCCATGAACTGAATGCTGTTATTATTTTCATTTTAACAAAGAAAAGAGACAGAGAGGTGAAACAATTTGCCTGAGTTCTCATACCCAAGGGGGAGCAGGGCTGGAGTCCAACCCTGGCCAGCTGGACTCCCCTCCTTCATCACCACAAGCATCCCACAAGCCAGTGGGGATAAGGGCTCCTCCAACTCAACAGCTCAGGGGAAGGAACAGAGGCAAAAACAAGTGGTGTGAGTTATACATGAGGATGGCTGACAGAGCTGCCCATGGAACCCTCCTTCCATGCTCTGATTAAAACGAACAAAACCATAAACTTCCACAGCCAGCAACCAAAGAAGGAAAAAGCAAAACTGAAAGTCTGCTGGACAAGCCAGGAGACACTGGAGGAGAACGGGCTGCCTGCCCCTGAAGCCTCAGGGCACAGGGAGATGAACTCTCAAGTGAGGCTCTCTCCGAACAGGTGAGCCAGCGGCTGGGCCTCAAGATGGAGGCTCATGCCAAGAAGTCATGGCCCAAGGTCAGGAAAGGGGAGCTGAGGAACCCAGTCAGGGTTGAGGGTCAGCAATGTTGGCAAAGGCCTCTGCCTAACGTCCTGAGAGGTTAACTGAGGGTCAGATCTCCCTAATGAGAGTCCCTTATCCCCACCCCAGAGGAGGAGGGAGAGTTGAAGTGATCAGAGTAGGGAGCACCATCAACTGTGCCACTGCTGAGCAGCCTGGGTGACGCCAGACCCCTTCATCCCTTACCTTCCTCAAACCCATCCCGGAAGGAACCTGAGCGGCTCATGGTTCGACTTTTCTCATCAAGCGACATGGAGCTATTCCGAAAGCGGCTGTCAGTGTAGGGGTCGTACTGGCCGTCGGTGTTGGACAGGCTGTGGGTCCTCAGCATTGCTGGGTTGGACAGGCTCATCTGGGTGACAGTGGTGGGACTCGCTGTAAGCAGAAAAGCTGGATGAGATGTTGGAAGTCCATGCTCCTGTTCGAATCCCAGGTGGGTATAAGGAGACTGCATATTGCCACCTGCCTGTGTGTCTGCCAACTCTGCTCCCTCGTCTATCTCTAAGAGGTAAGTCACATCAGCATTTGAGTAACAAGCTTAGAGCTAAAAATATGGGAGGGAAGGCGGGTCAGTTCCAAAGCAAGGCTCAGGGCCTCGGCGTTCCAACTTGGCACGTTCAGGCAGGCCGGTGTCACCTTCCAGCATGAGCTAATTACTCCCCGGGCTCATCTGAAACAATTCTCTCTAAAGCCAAAAGCCCAAAATAGTTCAAATAGGCTTTTGATCAGATGGGACGCATTTGTGAGTGACACGTGCCTCTTGCTGCAAAGTTGTAGTTGGAAAGGAATAATCTAAACTCAGGTCTCATGGCCTCAGATGGGGAATATCTCCTAACAGGGTGCAAAAGCTTCAACACCACGAGGGATGATTTCCTGCGCTGAACTGAGCTTTCTTGTTCAAAGCTTTATCTTTGTTAGCAGAGCACTGTATTCAGAGGTATACATTTAATTAGAAATGGAGCTATACCTCTGTGACGACAAGCCTCATGCCTAACTACAGACTGAATGGAATGTCCAGAACATTCCAAAAAGGTTCCAAACACCGAGACTGGAAAAGGTTCCCCTCCACCAACCAGTCAGACCTCCAGTGCCAGGCTGCAATCCCACCATCTTCACACACCCTCTGCCATTGACTCCAGCCAGCACCAAGCCCTCCTTTCCCTAACTATATAACCCTCACTTGCCGACCTGTTCTCTTCTTAGCTGGTTTCCTTCCTACAAAGCTTTGGACTCTCTTACCCTGTCTGACAGGTCTACACACATGTGTCTCTCTGAAAGAGAATCCATTGTCATGCTAGCAGGGACCCGCACAGATCCTTTCCCACTGGGCCAGAGAAAGCACTACGTCAGTCAGCAGAGGCATTTCCAAGAACACTTGTTCAATGAAAACTTCACTTTAATTTCCAGCTCAATCAAGCGCCCAGGGTGGTCAAGCGCAGGGCAGGCTGGAAGACCAATTCCTTCACAGGTCTGAGAAGCAGAATGTGTTCTGAGTGACGGGGTGGTGTGCAGCCTGCCACAATCTTATGCCAATTGCGGGCAAAAGACCATGCAGGTGTGTCCGACCTTTAGTTACTATGACAACACGCTGTGCCATCTGCAGAGTTCAGGCTCTGGGACTGCACAATCGAGTTATGACAAAAGAAACTGACAATAAAAAAAACAAAAAAAAGAGACAAACTCATGTTTTAAGTTTACAGCTTTGTGTTGGGACGCATCGTAGCTATCCTATGGCACATGTGGCCTGGGGGCCGGACATGCCTCGGTACTCAGAACTTTGCTAGTTTCTGTTTCTTTTATTGCCAATCTCCTATCATCAAGGTGCACTGCTGAGGGCCGGTCAGATACAGAGAAGAATGTGGCCAGACTTCTATTTCAAAACACAAGATAACCTCTGGCCTGCAGCAGATGACAAAGTCCAAGACCAGTGGCTACTCACCGAGCTGGGAAAAGTTAAATCTCGTTCCAGACGGAGAAGTGATGCTGGAGCCAGAGGAAAAGGGGGAGCTGGCCGCGGCGTCCTGCAGGCCCCCGGCAGAGTGGGACCGTAACCATTCTTTGGTATCTTCCTGCGTGCGTAACTGGGAGGTGGGAGCATACCTGGAGACAGAAGGCAGGCTGGGATGAGCGATGAACAGCGCTCGAGAAAATGCATTCCCTGCAGCTGACAAGGAATACGTAAGAAGAGAAATTATATCAAGATGGTTTAAAAAAATCAGATCATTACACACCCTGAAACTTAAGAAGTTTCTCTAAACTTTTTTTCCTACTTGGCTGCATTTGGGGAAAATTATAATTCCTTTTGGTTTGAAGGGAACACCTAAAGGGAGAAAGAGTGGGGAATGTTCAAAAGAGCCATCCCCGAGCAGGACTGGAACATGTCAGTTCACACAGGGACTGAGGCTAAGGGAGGTGCTGACTGAGCTCGGGTGACTGTTGCCACCCACACTCTGCAGCACGTTAGTGGGTAGCATGTGGAGGGAGACTGAGGGCACAGAGCTTGTAGCAGCTGCTGCAAGGTCTTCATGTAGCCCATGCTGGCCTTCAACTTGCTCTGTAGCCAAGGATGACCCTCAACTTCTGATACTCCTGTCTCTAGCTCGCAAGTCCTGGGAATGTGTCATCACATAGGGTTTATGAGATGCTGGGGTTGAACCCAGAGTTTCCTATATGTTAAGCAAGCACTCTATCCCCAGTCCCTTAACTGCTACAATTTAGCACTAACAGGTCTCATGAAAGGGCCCCACATTGTTAAACATAGGGGTGAGACCTTAGATGCCATGTGGACCACCCCTTGTGCATTCTAAAACCTGTCTGGTAGATTTACTGAGCATCGCTGATGATATGTGGAGTACCTTTACAGGCATCACCTCACTGGGGTCTCGAACAGCAGCGCAGTGATTCCTGCTATGCACTCTGGGAAGGTGGAGGGCTACATCACACAGCTGAGACTCTAAGACATGATTACCTGCTCCATGCTCTTTCCATCCTTCCTGGACAGCACCTGGCATTTCTGCAGTGCCCAGGGGAACTGGCTGCGGATTAGGTCATTAGAGGGACTGTTTGGCCTTTTACAAAGGGCACCCTCGGTGTGCTACATCCAATATTATGCGTGCTAGGGGAGGGAGCCAGGCAGAGAGCCAGAGGGAATGGGACACAGGTATGTCTTCGTTCTTTGTGACAGACATATCTTTCTAAGGCACATCAATTGCCTGGAAATACCTATCACATAATCCCTTCTGAACTTTGAGAAAATCAATTTTTAAAAGCCTGTATGACTTTGGTAGATCTACCATGGATATATGCGCACCATGTCAAAATGTAACTATTTACATGTTAGCTTCCTCTTTGGGTAACAGTGGGGTATGAACATCCAACTCATTAAGAGTGGACATTAGGACTGGGGATGTATTTCAGATGGTAGAGTATCTGCTTAGTGCTCAGGAAGCCATTGGTTTAACTCCCAGCATTATAAAAACCAGCCATGTTGGTGCGACATGGGAGATGGAGGCAGGAGGGTCAGAAGTTGAGAATCACCCTCAATGACTTATCAAGTCTGAGTTAACTGGTCTACATGAAAGCCCATCTGATGAAAGAGGGAGAGAGAGAGAGAGAGTTGGGGGTAGGTGGTAGCAATCCACTGTCACACACCATGTATGTCACGGTGCACAATTCCTCATGGACGCCTGCTGGGGATATTACCACATTCCTTCTTAGACTCCTAGAACTCACTTTGCTTGGAGTAGCCACTCAGAGGACACATCAATACCCACCTCATGTTACTGTTCGAAATGCTCTGGGTCCTAAAGCTGCAGGTTATTAACTACAGACAACACGTGACAGCAATGAACCGTTTCATTCCAAGTTCTGTTTTATGTGAAAGCACTCAATGCTTAGCACAGGTGAGGGCGATGCTAGAGAGAACGAGGTGTTTAGAAAGCAGAGACGATGGGGAGCCGTGGGAGCGATGGGGAGCCGTGGGAGCATGGGGAAATCAAAGCACCAAGGCTGGTGATGCGAAGGTCATGGCGACTTAGAGCAGAGTACCGACAGGCAGCCCAGGCACGACTTACTGTGAATGGAAGGACAGTCCTTCTCACAGACTTGGGTTTTTACCAAAAATAAGGGCACATGTCTGCCTTGGTGGGTACTGAGAGGCTGACCCCACTGCTGATCAGGATGTCAGGGTGAGTACAGGCATTCATGTCCAGCTGTGCTTCCTGATGAGCCAAATGGCATTTTTTGCAATTAGTTATTAGTATTATTCTTTTGTGGTACTAGGGACTGAACCCATGGCCTTGTGCATACCAGGGAAATGCTCTACCCATGGCACTGTATCTCAGCCCTGAAGCTAGAGGTTTTTTAATTTGGGGGAGATCATCCCATCCCTCCTCCTTCCCTCCCGTCCTTGCTGACAAAGCAGCATGCTGTAAGTCATGTCCTCTGCTGGAAATGGCCACATGAACAGACGATCATGAAGTGCGTAGGGTCCCACCTCAGACCCCTTGGGAGCAGTCCCAGCTCCCAGCCTGGCCCAGGGTTGCTGGTCATGAGATGGCTCTGTCACACGAAGCTTCACAAAGCACAGACCCCCTCACGCAAGCCACAAATGGAGAGATGGGAATGAGAGGGGTCTGTCATCCAAAACCCAGCCACAGTGGCCAAAGCGGGGATCCCAGCCCAACCCCCACCAGCCATGAGAACACACAGCCAAGCTCCACGGACGGACACAACAGATGGCATGGGTGCAAGGAGGGTCGGATACCTGAGTCCTTTCTTAGGCAAAGTGTTCCTATCAAGGTGTGGGTCACTGTAGGAAAGTTAAAACAAATCAAGAACGTGACAGACGCACAGGGCAGGCGGGGGACGAAAGGAAAGGAGGCTGGGGAGAGTGCTCGAGGGCCCAAGGTAGCCGCTCACAGCAGCCATGCATACAGCGCACACATGCAGATACAGGAGGAACCAGTCCTCTGCCTGAGCCCGCACCTATGCGTATATCGACCACATCAGGCAGCCCAAGTTGCTCGACCCCAGTTCTTCCTCCTTTTCCACAGGTTCAAAGCCAACACAGGCAGTGCGTCACCTGAAAGCACTGCCCGTGCTGCCCTGTGGCCCCCCTGTGCCCCACCACCTCAGCTCCCATACCTCCACTGCCCCTGGCAAAGGTTTCTAGAAGGGACTCGCTAGAGGGTTAAGCGACCAGCAGTCTGCATATTTGGAATTCATGTGCAATGGGGTGAATTCCAGGTCCCTCTCAGCGGCTTCTTGTTCCTGTCTGGCAAGGGTATAGCTAGGAGCTGAGCCCTGGGCAGGAGCCAGGGCAGGTTGGAACATGTTGGCTGACCGAGTCAAGGCATTTGAATTTCCAAAGCACTGACAGGGGTTTAAAGGCTTGGTTTGTGAGCCTGACAGAAACAGTTTTTGCTGTTGATGGGGTGAAGACGGTTTCCATTAGTTATTTTCTCCTAAGCATGAAACAACAGCTGTTTGTCCTGTTTGGCTCAGTCAATGCTCCCCCAGAAACTGAAGGTCAACATCCATCTCTGAGGCCCACCCGCAGCTGGGGCAGGCCCAAGTCCCTTCATTTGTAATGCCCCAACCCTCCACACAATCTTTATCACCATCATTACAAGATCCAGATGGACACACAAAGCACAACACGCCGCACAACATAAGGAGCCAGACTGCAGCAGAGTACTTGAAGGGAGGGGAGGGGTGCGGGGGAGAGGCAGAGCTGAGGGCCAGGCTGCACGGTGGGTGGCAGGTGGTATCTGGCAGGGTGGGGAGGGAAAGCAGTAGTGGGGAGGCAGGGACATGCCACAGAGGCCACGGGGATGCCAGTGAGGGCTCCCGCAGCCCTGGATGAGTGGCAGGGTTTAAGGGTGGCCGTCCCCAGCTGGAGTGAAGGGGACATCCACCTGCACTTTTCCCTGGGCTTTCGAGGACAGTGGAGCAGACCCTCACTGGCATGCCTGGCTGTCACAGAGTATACCAGAGCCACAGACACAGAAGCCTCAGGCAACAGCCTTGCACAGAACTGGCTTGACAATGGACGGATGGGCAGAGGAATAACCTAGAGGCTTGGTGGGCCCCTGGCCTATGACGTCATTACCTGTCCTGTGTCCTGGGCAGAGTACTTCTGCAGAACTTAGGGCTAGCAGCAGGGGAAGAGAGAGGGCTAGAAGTCCAGGTGGGTGGAAAACAAGAGAAGCAGTGTTAGACTGAAGGATGAGGCGTCTGCACACACAACGATCAGAACACTCCTCCCACTCCCACAGCTGACCCAGCTTTGTTCCCCAAGTCCCCAGCCAGGCCCCACCGCTGCAGTGAAACCAAGGCTCTGATGACACATGTGGGTTCGTGAGCTCCTCTCATGGTGGCCGGCAGCAACTCAGGAGGGTGTTCACCCAGACACCAGATCCCCCCAACTGCTTAGCAAGCATCTGGCCACACAGTCCACAGCTGCCCCAGGTCTCCTACTCTGCCTGATCAATTGTTCAAGAAGAAAGAAGCCAACAAAGTGATGGAAGGGTTTCCAAGGCTGAATGCCATTCAAACAGTAGCACAGATCTGTCCCCAAGAGACTTCTAGTAGCTTCAAGCACCAAGAATAACCACAGAGAGTAAACAGCTAGCAGTAAGTACAGCCAAGCGGAACTCCACCCTAACTGGCTTCCACCAAAAGCAGCACTGATTAGAAAGACAGAAACCCAGCAGGCAAAGGCCAGTTAGCCTCTGGACCCCTGACCTCCTCCCTGCATCTTTGGAAGGACATCTTCCTGAGGGACACACAGCCAGGAGGGCACAGCACCAACCTTTCTGACAGTGTGGTCTTCACACTGCTGGTTCGGACAAAGGGCGTCAGGGAGTCATCTTTAGTGGAGGCAATGGGACCAGGGGAGGAGTTGTGGCTCAGGCCCCCGCCGCTGCCCAGGGAGATGTCAATGGACTCGCAGCTGGTGTGCAGGCTACTAACAGACTGGAAGCCTAGGCCGTCCTTGCTCATTGCTGATGAGCTGGTGCCCCAGGTGAGGCTGTTGGAAGGGCCTGAGTGGGCTGAGCTGGGGCTGGAGGCTAGAGGAGACTGGTTGAGGTCCATGTTCTTACTGTAGAGAGGGCTGCTGCTCCCACTGCTCAGGACGCCACTGCCCGAGGGGGACTCTAGGTTACCTTGCTGGGTCATAGTGGCATGAGGATTGGAGATGACCACCGAGCTTTTCATGGTTTCGGCTGTGGCGATGGGCACTTGCTTGGTAGGCTTCCCACCAAAGAGTCTGCGAAGAGACAAAGGTTTTGTGTGGGATAAACACCCAGGGGCAAAGGGTCACAGAGCCACTGAAGAAGAGGGCTAGGGAGTAGGAGGCAGTAGGACCCCTGGAAAGGGGGACAGTCTCCTGCATAAACGGCTAACAGTCTCCCCAGAGAAAGGCTGTTTGTGTAGTGGGTCTGGATGCTGGTGCCCCTGGAAACCTTCTGGCTCTTGGCTATAACTGGGACTGGCTGTAAGCCCAGGTGATAGAAGAGCTTCCTACAGGCCTGGCCATACCCCTCCAGGATTCGGCTTTCCCTCCGTTCTCTAAATAGACTAATCACAAGGGAGCCCCAGTCAGGAAACGTCTAGAGAGAAGAGCCTCATTCACCTGTGATACCAGGTGCAAAGCTTTGGGACTTGGTCTCTTTGATCTCAGCCTAATGTAAAGAATCAAAATCATGGGTCTACAGCTGGAGAGAGCCTGGAAGAAGTCCAGACACAGATAGATGTACACGCAACAGGAAACAAGGGTGCAAGGGGTGCCTCTCAGGGCCAGAGAGCCAATGGAGCCAACACCATACACAGAAGTGTTCACGAGACATCAGACCAGACACTCTGGGTACCAACCATGTCCGAAACACTCAGAAATACCATCCCACACTGCCTTCCCTCTACTTGTTGCCAAAACTGTGTCATCAGTACAGGGCAGGCACAAGCCTGCCTTCCACAGGTAGAGCGCTCTGGTGGAATGTTCCCCAGCCTGGAGTGGACCACATCCTACAACATTTAAGGGCTTCATTCCACTCTCCAAATACAGTGAGTGGAGTAAGTATCTTTGAAAAGTGATGAAACCACTACCTACTATGATAGGCAAGCTGCCTTTGACCCAGTTGCCCGCAGTGATTCCCCGAAGAATCCTACAAATCTCAACACTTGAAGACCAACAGTCAGATATACAACCCTCACCACAGTACCTAGTGACAGATGAGAAATGCTTTTCCTCTGGTGGCTACCAGGAATGAAATACCACGCTAGGGCCTCAGCTTCAGGATGCTTCCACGTTTCCACTGATGGGGACCTTGTTACTAAAAGGAACTCACTGCGGCCACGCTCTCAACCTCCCTGACTGGCTTTTAGGCAGCTGCTTGCTAGCCCACATGGAAGTCCCCTCCGCTCCTGCCTATTTGAAATCATTTAAAGGGAGTTATTGGTCCCACTCAGGTGAGATTGAAGGCTTCGCCCCACATGAATGCCCCAGCTAGATGTTTAGATCATTTAGAACACAAGAGTCATTTAGGAAACGGTTGAAAGGATGCTAGGTGCCCAGTGTGAGGAGTGCATGTGTTTTCCCGGATTCCTGTGTGGTAGCCTGAGGGTCCCGTAAAATGCCTTTCTAGTCACCAAAGGAAACCAGTAATACTGTAGAGCAAGTGATGCACGTCACACTTGATTCAGGTAGCTGAGAAAAGTTTCATTTACCAGGCAGTGTCTTAAAACGATAAACAGCAGCCCAAGGGGAACTTCCCCCTGAAAAATAATCACTGAAATTCAAATAATGAAGTCTAGACAGGGTGCACCGCACAGCCTTCTACTTGTCACCCCCAAAGACATGCATGTGCGCCTGATTTTTATTTTCTCACCCCTTAACTTTCATCCCGAGGGCTTGCTTTTCCTCATGGTAGATCACGGCTGGAAGGTGATGTGAATGCCAACCTATGCCATTCCAAGATGGGCCAGAGCATGACTTAAAAGAAATTGTTAAAAACCGGTCTTTCCATATTAAGAAATTAAAACCAAGTGTGGAGATGTAAGGGGGAAAAAATCATGCCTTTTAAGGTACTAGGAAGTAAATTTCTCCTTATTACAGTTCTCTTTTTAGAGCATTATATTAAAAAAAAAAAAAAGTGGGCTGGGGAGAGGGCACCGTGAATAAAGTGTTTGCCAGCACAGGTGAGGACCAGAGTTCAGAGCCCCAGAGCTCACGGAAAGGACCAGCAGGTGTGTGGTGGCTACCTACCATCCTAGCACAAGGGCAGCAGAGACGGGACCTCTGGGATCAGCAAGAGACTCTGCCTCAATAAAGAAAGTGGACATGACCAAGGGTGCCTCCAGACATCAGGTTCGGGTCTGCATGACTATGTGCCCGGGCACACGCACACACTGACATACAGATGAACATGTATACACACATGTACACCATACATATCCAATAATATTTTTTTTAAAAAAAAACTGGGTGTGGTGGTGCACGTCTTAAATCCCAGCATTCGGGAGGCAGAGGTAGGTGGATATCTCTGAATTCAAAGTCAAGTTGGCTTATATAGAATGTTCCAGACCAGTCAGGGCTACAGAGCGAGGTCCTGTGTCAAAAAATAAAACATGGTATTAAAAAAAGAACATGCAGACAAAGATACAGCTCAGGGGAGAAAAGACAATCTCCTTGCCACGAGCTACTTTCACGGTCTGAAAGTGTGTCAAAACCTCACCGTTACTGTAGCTGACTTTCACTGAGTGCCTTCCAGAGACAAACACAGCTGCAAAGACGAACTTTCATAAAAACTCGGAAGAAAGTACCATCACCCCCAATTTATAGACGAGGAAATTGAGGCAGGATTAAGAAAGGTGACCTGATGGTTAATTAAGAAAGAGTCAGAGTTTGAACTCGGGAAGAATTACTTTAGAAGTTTTTGTTTTTCATCCCAGAACAGGGAAAATAACGCACGGACTGCAGACCTGCTGGCTCGGGAGTGGGAGCTGGGCTCAGAGGCAGCTCTGCGGACGGAGGGCTCAAGCTTTATATCAAAGCACGAGGTTCTTAACTCAGGTGCCAAGCCATGAACTCTGGCTCTCCTCAGCTCCATGTATTTACCCACTTACCTGCGGAGCGTGGGAGAGGCCACGTCTGGGTACTTGGTCCCTGGCTGGAGAGTGGCCTGAGCAGGGCTGGGCATGGGCTGGGAGGCTGGGTTCACTTTCACGGAGTTACAGGAAGCCACACTCTCATTGTCTGACGAGATGCCTTTTTCCTTGTCCGTTTGGTTGACGAGCCCTGGCAGGGAGCTGCCCAGGGCCGTTTTGGAGGGCTCCCTCAGCCTGGGCACCGGCAGGCCGGCTGACTTGCTGCTCATGTTAGAATCAATGCTGCTGGTGCTGGACCTGTTCCCGGCCCCATTCCGGCTGTTGGACTTGCTGGGCCTGGGCAGGCTCCGGTATTGCAAGTTGGTCCGAGAGCTGAGAGACAGGTACCCATCGTCCTGGTTCGGGGCTCCATCCACGCTTGTCTTCCGACCTGTAGACCGACCGACGAGGGCAGACGATTTGGGGATTTTACCCAGCGTGGCAGACCTGCTGGTGACAGCCGCCCCGCTGGCTGTGATCATGGCCAGCCCGGCAGCCGAGCCACTCTGTTTTTTGAACCCAAAGCTGCTGGCATTGGCTGTGGGAGTCCTGGAGCTACCGGGGAGGGCTTTTTTGGATTCATCACCACTGCTGCGGCCAGCATCCGACGGGGAGCGCGTCACCTGGGAGGCTTTGGGTGACAGCCTTCCCTTTTCAGACACCTTTGCATCGTCTGTTTTTCCTAAGAGAGAAACCCGTGAGGTCAGCCTACAGACAAAGAAGCCAGCCCTGGGGCTAGGGAGCTCGGATGAAGGTTGGGTTCCCTGCACCCTGAGGAGGTGCAGGAGAGTTTCCCTAGCAATAACCTAGCTCATCTGCTGAAGATGGGGGCCTTGTAGGAGGTGTCACTAATTTTACTCCTTTGCAAAGCAATCTGCATTGACCCAGGACAGAGTGAAGCACTTTCTCCCTGTGTCCATGACAGCATCCCTGACATTTCCAGAGGGACAACACACAACAGACAAATGTGGCCAAGGAGCCTATGCCTGTGTGTCATTGGCGAGTGGTGAAACTCAATGCTGACCAGTTGGTATACAGTGAAACCAACCTACATCTCTGCAGCAGAGCCACTGTCAGGCTCACACTTGCATACTACCAGTCATAAACAGGGAGGGAAGGGACCCTGAAGTAGCTGCCGTTGGGGCCAGGGAGGTGGCTCAGTCAGTAAATGACTGCCTTACAAGCACGAGGATCTGAGTTCAGTCCGCAGAACCCACCTAAACAAAGTCAGGTGTGGTGGTGCATACTTATGGTCTCCACGCTGGGGAGGCAGAGACAGGAGGATCCCTGGGGCCTGCTGACCAGCCAGCCTACCCTACATGGTAAGCTCCAGGTCGTACACGCTGCTGTACACACACACACACACAAACTGGTTGATACACATACACGTGGGCAGGTATGTATACACACACACACACACACACACACAGAAAGCTGGTTGTGATCAGAGCATCAATCTGAAGTCACAAGTTCCTGCTGCAGTCAGCAGAGTTTTGGCTTTTGGCTGCAGCTGCTGATCTACGACAGCGCCAGCCTCTCACTCACCAGTCCCTGGGGTCTTCAGTGAGGCTGCTGGAGCCGATGGCTTTGTCCTTGGCATGGTAATGCCCACCTCCGCCGTCATGCCTCGCCGCCACGAGCCTGTCTGGGAGATGACCGGATTCTTCTTGCCTGACACACTTTTGTCGGACTCATCCGACACATCAGAAGGATTCCGCCTCCACTTGGAACCCGGCTCCATCTTTACGCCACTATCTGACCCTCCATCTGATTTCTTGATGTCATCACCAGACCACAGGGAATTCCTCTCCTGTGAGTGTTTCTCCGCATCAGTCTGTGGAGAGAGACTTCCGGAATTAGTGCTCGTCCATCCAGGCCAAGGGGGCCCCTTGCTCCAAGGGCAAAAACACCAATACAGACTCTTTAAAAGGACCACCAGTTAAGGACTTTCAACCTTTAGACACCTGCTTGTTAGAAAGTTATGCTCTCCCTGGACTTTTTTTCCTTAAGGGAAGACTACAATGGACCCTTAGAGAGAGGGAAATAGTTGAGTAAAAGGAGCTGCGGAAAAGCAGGGCCCCAGGAGGCGCTGGCAGAGCAGAGAGGTGGTGGGAAGGGAGCTCTGTCTCCTCCAGCTCGGACGCGGGATCTCCACCAGCACCAGCCTGTCCCTTTCCCTTTGTCCTGTCATCTTCCTGTCACTCTGCTAGCTGCGATCTTTGGATCTAGGAGACCAGCAAGGGAGCAAGCAAATCTGTGAACTCCACCGATCTGCAGAGCACTCAACTGGCCAAGGAAGCAGTGCCTGCTCCCGCCCAGCTTCGTTTCTGAGCCTCTGCTCCCCATGCTGTGGTCGAGTTCAGACGAGGAAGATAATTAGGCAGCTTTCTTTGGAAGACCTTGACCTGCTGTGGAGCCCAGGAGGGGACAGGAATGGGACATTAATGGACTGCAAGGCCGAGGGACACAAAGGGAGCCAGAATGCTGGGCCCCCTGAGGCCTGAAGCCGGGGAGGGTCTTCAGGATGGAAGCCGCGTGTGAATGGGAAGGGGACGAAGCAGTTCTTTGGGATGGCCACTCAGAAACAAACCCCACACTCGCTATATGAGGTGCTAAGAGAGGGCCACAGAGCCAGTGTGGGAAAATGAAAGTGACCTGGGTAAGACCCTGGCCTGAGACCTGCCACAGATCAGGGTGACAGTGCCTTCCTCCATGGAATAAAGGCTGAGCAGGTGACGGCTCAGTGCAGAACGTCAGCCATGTGTGACCGCCTCTCCCCTCCCACAGTCCCCACAGCCCTGCGGACCTCATCCATCCACTACGGTATCCCACAGACCTTCGTTTGTTCAGACCTTCCTCAAACACATACCGAGACACAGACAGATACCAAGTCACAGAGATGGGATGTGGAAGGAGAGGGCAACATACTCAGTCATGCGAGGGACGCTGAGGGGATGTCCCACAACTGAGCACACAGAGCAGGAACTCAGCCAAGGCCTGATGAACGAATGAGTGAATGAATGCACAGCAAGTGCATGCTGTTTAGACTGACAAAATGATCCCAGCCTGTCACAGGCTGGTCCAAGGGAGTCAGGAGGCATGCAACATGACCTCCATCTCAATTTTACAGATGAGCAGAACCACAAGTGACCCTTCCCAACCCCTCAGTTACCTCAGCCTGGCGGTCCCTTCTTCTAGAACGTGCTGTTAATACTAAAACTAACTAAAACTAACTCAATGCCCACTGCTTGCCAGTTATGTAGGGAAGAACCTGGATAAGATTAGTTCCCACCCTGCATGTGCCGAGGCCTTGAATAAGAAGCTTGGCTTTGGAAACATCCATCTATCAACTGTTACTGGGTACCACAATGCACCAGGATGCTAGTTTGCACTGAGAGTACTGCAAGGAACAAATTCAAACCCTGAACCTACATTTACAAACATTCCAACGTGTTCGAATATGCTCTAAGATGTGCTGAGATATAGCATCTTTCACATGCTTATCATTGCAATTATTTTTTTAAATGTTCTTAGACTTCTTTCCCGCAATCAAATTGTAACGGTATTTAGACTGGAGAATGGCTCAGTAGTTAGAGCATTTGTTCCTCCTCCAGGGGCCCCAAGTTTGCTCCCAGCACCCGAATCAGGTGGCTCGAAGGCCTGTAACTACAGCTCTAGGGGATCAGATGTCCTCTTCTGACCTCCATGGGCCCTACACTCATATGTAATATACACACAACCACACATATAATTAAAAAAAATAAACCTTTAAAAATGGTAACAATACAGCCGGGCGTGGTGGCGCACACCTTTAAATCTCAGCACTTGGGAGGCAGAGGCAGGTGGATCTCTGTAAAGGCCTATAACTACAGCTCTAGGGGATCAGATGTCCTCTTCTGACCTCCATGGGCCCTGCACTCATATGTAATATACACACAACCACACATATAATTAAAAAAAATAAACCTTTAAAAATGGTAACAATACAGCCGGGCGTGGTGGCGCACACCTTTAAATCTCAGCACTTGGGAGGCAGAGGCAGGTGGATCTCTGTGAGTTCAAGGCCAGCCTGGTCTACATAGTGAGTTCCAGGAAAGGTGGGGCTGCAGGGAGACCCTGGCCCAAAAAAACCAAAAAAAAAAAAAAAAAAAAAAAGGTAACAATATTAAAAATAGCAGTAAAATGTAAGACTTACTATATGCCACTATGTACCAGGCATAAGCTAACGTACTTTTAAAAAAACTCTATGTGCCCGGGACCTGTGAGATGGCTCAGAAGATAAGGGCACTTGTAGCACAAGTCCAGGTTTGACCCAAGTTTGATCCCCAGAACCTATATAAAGGAGGGGATCCAACGGGTCAAACCTACTCCACACATTTGCTGTCTCTATCTCTCTCTCTCTCTCTCTCTCTCTCTCTCTCACACACACACACACACACACAAATAATTTTTAAAAATCACTTAAAATATATATGTACTGGGGTTGGAGATAGCACTCAGTTGGTAGAGTGCTTGCTTAGCGTACACAAAGTCCCAAGTTCACTGGAGATGGACTGTATCCAAGACTGTTATCCAAACATTCAGAAGTGGAGGCACGAGGATCAGAAGTCCAAGGTCATCCTTGCTACATACCGAGTTTGAGGCCAGCCTGGGCTACATGAGACCTTGCTTTCCATTGTGTACGTGTGTGTATGTAGTACATGTTTTATATATACAAATATATAGTTATTTAATCCTTAACAAAAGCTCACGAGGAAGTAAGTTAACACTCTGAATTTTATCACCAGTAGCAGAGTGGAGAAGAAACTTACCTAAGATCACACGAAATGCTGCAGGGATTCTGGTTTCTGCCAGCACATATTCTAACCGCTGCAGCACACTGCTTTCCTTGATGATAAGTCCAGGGACTTATTTTTGCATGCCCCAGAGCACCTAATAAAAATGCCTCCATCTAGCAGGTGCCTCTTCCATACAGGCAGGCTGGTTGTGTTCCAAGCCTAGTCCTAGAGCAGCCGCAGCCCAGCTCCTGGGCTGGACCCCTTAGGACTAATTCTACCAGTGACAGGGAGAGTGCACATGTCCCCAGCCTGGGATCATGGCTTGATCCTCTCCCTCTAGAAGAACAGTCCTCATCCTCTGTAGAGCTGGGTGTTTGCCTGGATACTCTGAGAGTTCTGCAGTTACATGGCCTTAGCAAATCCTTTTGGAACTATGTGTCAAACCATTGGTGACATCACTTGGAAGTCAGAGTGGAAGAAGCCCTATAGCTTACAAAGGGAGGCCGGCAGGCCAGCATCCAGGGGTGTGCAGCCTACGATGCCCAGACTGTGGGCCCATCTCCTCCTGAAGGTTTTCTTATTGGCTTTCTTGGATGTCTCCTAGATCATGAACAGGCGAGTGGGAAGAGAGCAGATAGGTCCGAAGAAACCTCAGAGCAGACGACAGTATTTGGAGAGAGAAGTCTGATTAAACAGGGGAAGGGCACTAGCTCTGGAGTCTGAGAGACTTGAGTTCTTGTTAGAAGTGGGGTGGGGTCACTGTTGCTGGCTGAGATCTTGGAGGAAGTCCCTTTCCATCTCTAAGACTGTTATACTGGTGTCAAGCAGGTTGACACTAAATGGAGTGCTGACTGAGGGAGTTGGTGGTGAACTTGAGTTAAGCGTGAGGGACTCCGTGAACAGTGGTTCTCTCACCCACGAATTCTTCAGCTCTGAGAATCCCAGTTCCCTGCTGTGACTTCAGCATTTCTTTCATCCGTGTCTTGCATTAGACAAACAGGGTTTTCGCTGCCTGCTACTGGGTCTTGAGCCTCCAGACATCCAATCTCCTGCAAGTCTAGATGCTGAGCTGGCCGAAGTTGGAGCCCCATAATAACCAGCAACATCACCTGCTGCTTGTTTCCCCAGACACCACATCCCTCCACACACTCTGACCCCATCCTCTGAGACTGTATTGTCACCCAAGCTGCACACACCTTCCATGAAAGCACAGGTTTGAAAAGAAGTAACTAGCCCACGATCAGAAGCAATGGGTCTGGGGAGGTGGGCAGAAGAGGCAGCTGGCTTACCACGAGCTAAGCGGACCACACATCATGATTGCTCACCATGCAGAGAACAGCAGGACGTATGGGACAGCGACCCGGCCATATAAGTCAGGATTTTGTTTCCCTTAGTGGCAAAAAGTAAACTGACAGAGATTTATCTTTTTACCCCCTGATGTTTTGTTAAATTTTTCAGGAATTGAAAATGAAGTCTTGCATGGGCTCCTTCCACAAAACCCAGAAAACTCTCAGTGGCCCAGGACCTAAGGTGCAGATGAATACATGTTGGGTAGATGTGTTTGTCAAAGCTCTGTACAGCAACACAGTGCCCAGAGCATACAATGTCAAATTTAAGGCAAACTGCTCTGAAACTACAAATATACATTAACAACATGCTACAAGTTGAGTTACCAGCCCAGATGCAAGAGGGAGGCAGAAAGAGAGGAAATCCGGGGCTGGAGAGATGGCTCAGCAGTTAAGAACACTGACTGTTCTTGCAGAAGACCTGGGTTCAAATCCCAGCACCCACATGGCAGCTAACAACTGTCTAACTCCAGTTCCAAGGGATCCGACAGCCTCTTCTGTCCTCCATGGGCACTGCATGACACGGGTCCACTTACCTACAAGCAGGCAATACACTCATATGCATAAAATAAAAATAATAAATAAAATATTTTTAAAAAATAGAGGAAATCCAGGTACAGAAGAGGGGTGGGGAGACTCCTGCTGAGCCATTCTGCAGCTCAGCTCGTGCTACCGGTTAATGGATGAAAAGAAAAGGGACTCCAGGAGTTGGACTAGCTCATCCAGGGATGTTTCCGAGTGAGATGCCCAGCCCTAAATTATGAGAGTTCAATATCACCCTCCACCCTAATGCCGCCGTTGGCACCTGGACTCATCAGCTCTCCTAGAGATGGCTGTGCAGGGGCCTCAGGCCTCATGCAGAGGCCTCTGTTCCTCACATGGAGCACAGGGGCTCAGGGTACCTGCCCTGGAAACAGGCCATGGATGCCCTGTGGGGCACCCTTAACACTCCTCAATGTCTCCAAGAAAAAAGTCCCCTCAGACAGCGGAACCTCCTTTCCCAGGGATCTCTTCTTCCTGATCGGCCTCCCCGTCTTCCCATCACCACACGAGGCTGCTCTGTGCAATTTCCGGAACACACCTTCCCTGCTCCTCAGACATGAGACCCGGGCAGGCGGTTTTCCTGTAAGCATACCAAGCCCCTTCCTGCCTCGCACATTTGCCTGGTGGGCTGTGCGTGGCGCGCTTGCCCAGGGTAAACCAGCATGTGACAAGCGCTCCAAGGAACACACCAGACTCTGCTCTAGGACGGAGGGCACAGCACACACCTTCCCAGCTCTATCTACTCAGAGAGGACTTTTCATTCCTCAGCCTGTGGGGGAGGAGTCGTAAGGCTGCCCGGATGTGTAGTCGGATATTTTGAGACGCTCCCTGGACAGGAACAAAGGGGCTATCAGGAAAAGTCCATTTAAACACACCAGATGATAGACATCTCAGTACCTACTGCAGCAGGCCTGCGTTTCTGTTATGCTGAGACCCATGTCAGTTTTTATTTTAATATGTGTATCTAAGGACAGTCTGCAAGCTTGGTGGCTGCATGTATGTATGTATATGTACTATATGCACACAATACCCAAGAAGGTCAGAAGAAGGCTTCAGAGTCCTTGGAAATGGAGTTACAGACAATTATTAGCTGTCATGTGGATGCCGGGAACAGAACCCAGGTCCTCTGCAAGAGCAGCCAATTGTTTGTTTTTAAATATACTTATTTAAATGGACAGTTTCTTTCTCTCTCTCTCTCTCTCTCTCTCTCTCTGTGTGTGTGTTTTGGAGACAATGTATCACGCAGTCCAGACTGGTCTCAAACTTGCTATGGTTGACCTTGAACTTCTGATCTTCCTGTCTCCTTCTCCTGAGTGCTGGGATTACAAGCACATGCCATCAAACCCTATTCATGTGGAACTGAGTGAGGAATCCAACCCAGGATTTTGTGCAGGTCAGGCAAGCAGTTTACCAATTTAGCTGCATTTCTAACCCCATATTCTTATGACAAAGAACCAAGTCTTAATTTTACAGCTTGAGTCAATTATATAAAATCAACACGCCTCACATAACTACCACTCAGATCAGGACACAGAACATGTAACTCCAAAATCTTGGTGTCCCTTCTCACCATTGAAGTAACAACACACGTATAAGCACATGTAGGTCGGGTATAGTGACACACATCTTTAGCCCCAGCATTGGGGAGGCAGAAGCCAGCGGAGCCTGGTCTACATATCGAGTTCTAGACCAGCCTGGGCTACATAGCGAGACCCTTTAACATAGTGCAGTTGGCTGGTGGGTGCTGTGGCACGGTGACTGAGAGGGACTTATCTGTGTCAAGGGGACATGGGGATGCCTGCTGATCATTCTTACAGAGAAATAGCTTTGGACTTTGAGAAACTAGGTACACATTTTCATGTGGAATAATACAATTTTAAAAAATTAAAGCCAGGTGTGGTTGGCGTACCCATGTGATTCAGCACTTGGGAGGCAGAGGCAGGGGGATCAGCAGTCCAGGCCAATCTCTGCTATACAGGGAGTTTTAGGCCAACCCGAACTACATAAAACTCTGTCTCAAAAAAAAAAAAATCTAAAAAAAAAAAAAAAGGAACTGGAGACGTAGCTCAACTGGCATGCGTAGAGCCCTAGGCTTGATTTCCAGGGTTAAAGCAAGCTGTGGGGGTGTAGAACTGCAGAGCTAGCACTCAGGAGGTAGAAGGAGGATGAGGTCAGGGTCATCCCCTGGGCTACCTAAGAACCTATCTCAAAAAAAAAAAAAAAAAAAAAAGACGGAATCCTACTGAAAACAAGCCGTACAGAGCAAGCAAGGTACAGCACCAAGGGGCTGCGACCCGGAGACGGACAGCCCCCACCCCAGGCCGGCCATACCGGCCTTCTGGTACAATGCTTGCAATTCTCCCATCACACCTCAGGTCTCAGGCTTACAAGGCAAACACAGGCTGAGTCTTCTCTCTAGTTCCTGCTTGCTTTTTTAAAAGCAGACCTACACTGAGGTCCAGAGAGGAAACAGGGTCTCCCCAGGCCAAACAGTGAGAGTGTGGTATTGTTCTGACATCTGCCTCCTTTTCCTAAGGGTAGAGGCCAGTGAGGAGACAGAGCACTAGATGCTGGAGGTGTGGCCTCATCTCAGCCTGGGGATTCTGCTCATCACAAATAGGCCTGCTGGCCACAAGGCCAAGGCTGGGACTGACAGGGACCACCGAAGGAGCCCAGGTGGACCCGCCCTGTTCCTTACCTGTATGTCCAGGTTTCTCCGGGAGGAGGCAGGTGTGTTGGCGTAGGAGCTGATGGAGGAGCTAGTGTTGATGTCATCCGTGCTAAGGTTGTCTATGGTGTCACTGATGCCACTGCTCACAGAGCTGCTGTCATCCCAGCTGTAAAGAAAAACACACCCTGAGCACCAGAGCCTCCGGCCTCCGAGCATAGGCTAACGCAGAAGACTGGGTGCTGGCCCTGGAAGGGTCCAGCCTGTGCCCTGAAGGTTCACACATCATAGGCTAATGCAGAAGACTGGGTGCTGGCCCTGGAAGGGTCCAGCCTGTGCCCTCACACATCATAGGCTAAAGCAGAAGACTGGGTGCTGGCCCTGGAAGGGTCCAGCCTGTGCCCTGAAGGTTCACACATCATGCTTCTGTTCAGATGGGACTCAGTCCAAGGGCACCTCTCATCCTTGCTGGTTTGGATTGGTAACAGGTAAAGTGGCTGGTCCCTCCGCCCCAGAGAGGAAGGCTACAGAGCCTAGCCATGTCCCACCCATCCTCCCTTTACTCCAGGAACAGCACTAAGGGCAACTGTTCTTCCCCAGCCCAGCGGCAGAGCAGGAACAGTAGGTTCATGACCAGGAACTCCTTTGTATCAGGGAAGATTCAACATGGGCGTCTGTCTAGGGGTCAGGGAACCCTAGACCTTAATACTACCCAGGATACATCTTTGTTTCCCAAGCTTCTAGTTGGTGGAGGTCAACCCCCCACTGCTCAGTCAAGTCTCCAGACACTGTTAGTCCATTCTTTGTCCTCTCACCATCTCCCCACTTCCGAACACCACCACATCTAATCCTGCACCTGGTCCTAACACTTCTCTGCCCAGCACGTCCAAAAGCACAGAGCTCTCCGCAGCCCCGTCATCCCTCTGTTTAAGGTGCAGTGGGCTCTACCTGAGCCACTCATTACACATGGGCCAGCTCGTCTGTACCCTGTTGCCTCCTCACAACCCATCCTTCCCATGGCAGCCTGAGTGACCTTCTGCAATATCATCAGGTCTGGTCACTTCTGTCCTAAGCTCAGCTGCCACTCAGGCACTGCAGTCCAAAGTCCTTCCTGGTCCTCCAGACCCTGGATCTGGCCTCCTTCTCTAAACTCCATCTCTCAGCCCTGTCTTCATTGCACACTTGGCCCCTTCTAAGCCAGAGCTGTTCTAACTCACAAGGTTTGCCTCTGCCTCTGTCTTTTAGGTCTCACTGGAAGTGTCCCTTCCTCATAAAGACACCCCACGTCCTGCTAAGCAACCGTGTTCTATTACCCCACTCTGTTATATTTTTTCTCATTTGTGGAGTGGCTGGTATACCACAGGTGCTCAATAAATGCTCGCTGAACTGAAAAGTTGGGATGAATTCTACAAAGCAAGCATCCAACATCAATGTGAGATTTCTCTAGGTGACCCAGTAATAGCAGGTAAGCATTCCTGCTTTTCTATTGCACAGGTAGCGAAGCTGAGACTTAAAAAGGCAGGACATCAGGTACAAGGGTAGAGAGAGGTGACTGGGTCACGGCCAGACCGTTCCAACTCCACAGCCACACCATTCCCCTGGCTTCTCCTATATCCTCGGTGCACACAGATGTGACAAGGTCCATGTCCTCAAGAGGCCGAGGACACCGGTTCAAGGCTACACAGGCAAGAAGGGCAGGTCTGATACCAAAGCTCGGCCAGATTACTGCATCTTGAGACCCTCCATGGTGGGTCTAGCTGACAGCCTTGCCAATAGGTGCCAGGAAGGCTGCAAGGTGCTTGTGCTGGGCTGGGGTTTTAAAAGCCAAGGGCCTCTCCTACACACACGCACGCACACGTGCCTGTTCCACACTCACATGCGTATACACGCAGACACAAGTACACAACTCAAAAGAAGTTCTAGTTCATTCCATCAGCTTGCAAGGCACCTGCTTCTCAGCATTGAGAACTCTGCTGCCTGGGAGGGGGAGAGGCGGTGGCAAACCTGCTTCCATGCCTCCCCCAGCATTCCCACCCATCAGGCCTCCAGAAATCAGCCTGGAGCATCACACAGAAGGCAGGCTGATAAGGCGCAATGGAGGACTCCATGGGGGATACTGTGGCTGGGAAGGATGGCCTTTTGACAGGGCTAAAGCACCTGCCTCCAGCCAGACCTGGGGCCAGAAGCCCGCTGGGAGGGTTCATACTTTTGCTCAAAGCTAGTTTGCTTAGGCTTATCAGTTGCTAATCGTGCTTGCTAATCTGCTAATGGGAGCTGTGGTTTGTTGGGAACGACTCCAGACATTGGCTGAGCGAGACAGGAAAAAGGAAGCACAGGAAGTCACTGAAGCTGGAGCCAAGCAAGTCATGAAGAAAATGTTACATACACCCTGGCGGGAGCAAGAGCCTAGTAACTCAAATCAGGAGACTAAACTGAAAGAAGTTACAAGAAGTGATCAAGGTTAGGACTTGAAAGAAACCCAGAAGCCGTGTGCTTACTGTGGGATGGAGACATGGAATTTGAGCAAGAGGACCTAGGGGGCCCACGACATAGCAGAGCGAACCAGTGTGTCTCACAGGCTCGTGGAACAGTCACTCTAATGGGAGATCTGACCATACCCGGGTCTGGCCTATAGTCTCAGAAAAACCACCCCAGAGTCTGTGAGCTTGTCCGAGATGATGGGAGTTGGGACAGTGATCATAAAGCTTGGGAAAGGACAGTGAGTCAAAATGTGAATACACAGGCCAGGGTGGTGGTGCACTCCTTTAATCCCAGCACTTGGGAGGCAGAAGCAGGTGGATCCCTCTGAGATCTAGGCCAGCCTGGTCTCCATAGTGTTGGATGGGAAGATTAGGATCACTGCCTTGTGAACACTAATCTGCATTTATGCACTGTAAAGAACGTACAGCACATTTGAGCACATTATAAAACAGCCTCATGACTTCGTAGTTTTAAAGGATGTGAAACTAAGATGGAGGATTGAAAACTGGATTAAAATTACAAAAATAATTGAAATGTTTAAGATAACTTGCAAAGTTAACATATACAAGAGTCAAATGTTTAGAAAGGTCTTACTTGTTCCTGTGGTGAGCCTTGCAGAAATTTGAAGAGATTATGTGAACCAGAGACATTCAGTTTATGAATGCATTTTAAAATGTTTAAGGAAATGTAATTACTCTTTTGCAAATACAACTGTTTAGGTAAATTTAATTGGTCAAGTCTGAATGAACAATGTACCAATCAACCAGTAGAAATAATCTTAGTTTATATAAAAAGACTTGATCTAGATATTGGATTTGTAAGGAAATCCAGGTGAGCTGTTGCTTTGGGACACAAAGATACTCTTAATACTAGAATGCTTTGCTAAGAGCAGATTCAGAGGCTGGGGATGAAGCTCGGTTGCTTGAATGCATACCTAACATAGCCAAAGACCTGGGCTTGATCTCCAGTACGCATTAACTGGGCATGATGGTGCATGTCTGCAGCAAGGCCCATGGGGGGCTATAATCCCAGCTCAGGAGGTGGAGGCAGGAGGAGCAGAAGTTCAAGATTATCTTTGGCTATGACACATGAGACCCTGCTTTTTGGGTTTAAGATTTTATTTTAATACACACACACACATATTTTTTTTGAGACAGGGTCTCATGTAGTCCATTCTGGCCTAGAACTTGCTATGAAGCTGAGGAGGGCCCTGAATTCCCGATCCTCTTTTCTCTGCCTCCCAAGTGCTGGGATTACAGGCATGCATCACGATGTCCAGCTTGCCAAAGACTTTGAGACTTGTAAACTGAACATTTTTGGACCCCAAGTCATGATCTTTCATTTCTCCTTCTGCCCAGTCAGCCAGTCCCTTCTAGATGCCAGGCACTGTGGGAGGCATGGGGTCCCACAGGACTCAGCATGGTCCCTTGACTGTGACTTCCAACCCAGTATGTGGGACCAACAAGAACCATTTGGGATATAACTATAATTAGGGCAAAGGACACCAGGGGGAAATGGTAATCCTACAGTCACTAGTCTAAGTTCCAGCACAAATGGATTCCAGCCCTTTTCCAAGCTCAGGCCCACCAGTGATGTTTGCTCGTTGCTCTCTCCCACCAGCATAGGCTTGGCAGAGCCCCCACCCATCCCATGTCCCAGGAGAGTTCGGATGAGCCCTGTCTTCTCCAGGTCCCGCACTCTTCTTCTGTTATAACCAAGTGAGGGGCCTGGCTAAGTCCCAGAAGGTTCCTTTCAGTCTGTGTCCCATGTCCCAGGAGAGTTCGGATGAGCCCTGTCTTCTCCAGGTCCCACACTCTTCTTCTGTATAACCAAGTGAGGGGCCTGGCTAAGTCCCAGAAGGTTCCTTTCAGTCTGTGATCACAGGCTGCTCGGCTCAGAGGAAAACTGGAACAAGGCAAACAGCACAGTGCAGTCCCCCTGGGGCCTCTGCCCACACAGTACCACTGCCCCAGGTCACTTCTAATGCTCGGCCTCCTCCACGCTCATTTCACCCCTCAAACCAGTTTCAGATATTTTTTTTAGCATTTGTATGTGTGTGTGGTATGCAAGGTCGCATGTATATATACATGGTTGTATGTGTGAGGTGCACGTGTATGTGGAGGCTAGAGGTCATGTCAGGTTTGGAATCTTCCTCACACTTCATCTTATATATTGAGGAGGGCTCTCTCACTTGAACCCAGAGCTTGCTGAGTCAGTCTGGCCAACTTGCTCCAGGGATTCCCTGTCTCTGCCTCCAAAGGGCCAGACTGCTGGCCCACCTGGCACTTACATGGATACGGGGAATCTGAGTTCCAGCCCTCATACCCGTAAGGCAAAGTGCACCCAGCTCTTGTCTGACATACACTTTTTTAAACTGAATTTTTGCGAATTTCATACAGTGCATCTTGATCATATTTAGACCCCATGCCCTGTCTTCACCTCTCCTATAGCCACCAATATCATACATTCTACTATATATGTTAGTCTACTGAGCCACGTTTGTGTCCCCAGATAGCCCTCGATGTGAGTCCATTCCCTGGAGCCTGGTTAATCTATCTAGTGTCACTCCCTTAAAGAAAACCAACTTTTCCTCTCTAAGTAATCACTGGTTGATACTAGTTTCTCAACTAAGGTTGGGGCTTCTTTTTTCCAAAATGAAATATTTTTATTTTATGTGTATGAGTGTAT